CCCACAGATGATTCAGAAAAAGGCATAGGAAAACATCATAAAGCATGGTACAATTTATTGCAACTGGGGAAAAAACCCTTCCTGACCCCCTAACTTAATAAGACATTCCCTCTATTAACAATCTCTGGTGCTATTATTTATAGATTTTAATTCCTGGAAGACCTAGACTCGATCTAGACTCCATGCTCAGTACCTCTATAAAGAAATCAAATGCTACACCTTAACCACTTCCCATCCGGCCCATGTATATAAACGGCCGGACGGGAGCAGTGCAGGGGCGGGTCACCATTCATAAAAGGTGCCCACCATTTTAGCCTTTGAGTGCTCCCTGGGAGCGTTCGGCACCACGATCCGCTGCCCGCTGTGCCTGGAGGACACAGCGGAACAACGATTGCTGTACAGGACCTCTGTGTGAGGTCCCGATCATGTGATCAGTGATTGGCCAATCAGTGATCACATGAATAGTAGTAAGCAAGATGTCAATTCTGACATCATGGCTTACTACGTGTGAAATCTGTGAATGATCACAGAGATCACATGGTACAAGGCTATTCACAACAGCCTTGTACCATGTGACAAGCTGTGACCAATCACAGCTCTCACAGTATTTCTCAATGGCTGCAAGAATGCAGCCAGAAAGCAAAGAGAAATATTGATTTTATAGCCTTTATGGGTGTAAATGCTGTATAATATGTTAATAACATTGCTAGCTGTATGCTGTCAATTTTGACAATTCAAGTTTCAGCATAACTGACATACAGTTATCTACTAAAAAAGAATTATAAAAGGCTCTGTCATCTAATACAAAAAGTTAATGATATGAAAATGAATCTATTTTTTCTATAGTGTGTAATGTACTGTTGTGAATCTATACATTACAGTATGCCTTGTGCTTGTAAGAAGACCTTTGTTCTATCATAATTTAATACATAAGAGGTTTGACTAGTCCAGCCTTTCTCAATCAGGGTTCTGTGGAACATTAGGGTTTGCCCAGTGGTTGCAAGGGGTTCAAGAGCAACAAACAATTTCTGCCATTAGATAAATAACAACTGACCTTTTTAGCTATCTGCAAGTTGGGGGTTGGGGAGTAGGCTCTTCCAAATGACCACCAATGTCTTCTCAGTGACTATCACATTAACATACCATTTGTTTAGAAGTAATAACTATTAGCATTTGTTCCCTGAGACCAGAAAGGTATTTCTAGGCTTCCCCTAAGTTAGAAATGTGACGGGAGTTGACTTCCTGTCTTAAGAAGAGTCGGGTGCTGTCTATTTCCTGCATGATCAGCGGGTGGTGTCCGGGGATTTGTGTTCGGACAGGGAAGCTGGAGTATAACGGAAAATACCCAAGTGCGGTCTGGGTCCGGTTCCGTTACATTGGTGGCAAGCGGTGGGATTGTGCTTCCAAGTTGTGAACACATCCAAACCACCACCGGGATCCAAGATCAGGAAAGGAGACGTCAGTCACCCCAGTGGAGATATGGACCTGGCATCAGAGTTCCCAGGGCTGCTGCAGACTGTTCTTCCAACATACCCCAGGACTGTGTCTATGGATAAGTACCTGGAGCTCAGGCAGCGAATTTGGGATGTCCTTTGGAGAGGAGTCCTCCAGGCTGCTGGTATGGAGAAAGGCAAGTGCTATCCAACCCCAGGGGAAAGAGCCAGGGACCATCGGAAGTTACGGATGCCATTACTGGGAGAGCGACCCCAGGAACAATGGGTGACTGAGTTGGACAGGCTGGTCCAGCAGGAGGTACAACTGGACAACAGATATCAGGCTCTGCAATGGTACGCAGAGCAGGAATATTTAGGGGTGTCAACAGAGTGCTCTCCTGAGGGACATGACTTTGGTGGCCCTGGATTGCTGTGGGAGAGCCTTACAGATCATTTTGTGTTTGGCGATGAAAGAGAACCTACCCTGGAGGAGTTGCGAGAAGGCAGAGAGGCTATGTTCAGTCTCACAGGGGTCTCAGAGCTTGAACCAGATCTGGAATACCTGATGAAGAAAGAACTGCACCTGGAAAGGGCATACCGGCAACTGCTAAAACATGTTCGGCAGCATGCCCAAGAATCAGCAGTGGAAATTCCAGAGACTGGGGATTTGATGGACTTCTCGGCTGAGGAGGAACCAGCAGTAGACCTGGCAACAGGGCCAAACATTAGTGAACTCTGCCCAGCACTGGTAATGTCTTCTGAGTTCCATGGACAGGAGATGGTGAACCCCTATCCTTAGACACCAGTTCCAGAAGCTGGGGATTTGATTGACTTTTCTGCTGAGGAGGAACCAGCCGACACCTCACAACAGCAGCTTGAGCTGATGTCCGTGGATGGGACTTCCGTCTCCACTGACACAACCCCAGAAAAGGGTCTGGCATTGGGACAAGAGGATGTCAGCCTTACTTTGCAAATACTAGGGGATGTCCATCAAGTTAAAGTGGAGGAGACTACAGTCGCCACCTGGATACCCCAGGGATGCTGGGCAATCGGCCCAGATCCCCAACAGCATGATGGAGTTGGCCCAGTCACCCTGTCTTCTCCCCAGTGGCTGAGAGGACTTCAGGGAGAAGGACCAGTCCGTACTTCTCCCCAGCGGTGGGTATGTTCTAAGGGAGAGGCAGAGGTTGGCTGGGTTAGTGTTGCGTGGGACAATTTGCATGGGGTACTGTGTGGGTGCTGGCATTGAGGGACTGGAGGTACAGACTAACTTCAGAGTACATCCGTCTGGGATTTACTCCTGCGTTAGTCTCCTGCTGAAAGGGGAGATATGTGATGGGAGTTGACTTCCTGTTTTAAGAAGAGTCGGGTGCTGTCTATTTCCTGCATGATCAGCGGGTGGTGTCTGGGGATTTGTGTTCGGACAGGGAAGCTGGAGTATAATGAAAAATATCCAAGTGCGGTCTGGGTCCATTTCCATTACAAGAAAGTTTGAGAAAGACTGAACTAGACTATCCAATGGAATTACAGTAAATCAAGATTAAAGTGTTACTAAACCCACAACAGTAAAATCAGTGTGTATATGCAGTAAAGCATGCTTGTTATACTCACTGTGGAACCTAAGGAGTTAATCCTCTGCATTGTGTAAAAAGGCTGTTTGATCCTGACTTCTCTGCCCCTCCTCTTGTTCAAATGTCCACTCTGATATGACAGACTGAACCTGTAGCCCTTCTGCACATGCTCAATTTAGTGTGTATTGCTAGAGAGGTGTTTTTTTTTTTCTTGGGAGAGTGCATGTGATTAGCACAGGGCCAATCAGCACTGTCCAGATAGAGGTCAGAAGTTTTGCATCCTCCTACAGCAGAAACTCCTCCTACAAGCTTTAACCAGTGCTCAGCTGAAGTCACAAGACTGCTCTAACTTTGTATTTACTAAAATAATTGCACTTCCATGTTCTGTGTACTGTGGGTGACCAGACAGAGTGAATGCAGGGTCCTGGGTTTAGTAACACTTTAAAGTCTTACCTCCTAACTACATTCACAAAAAAGTTAAGTAGTTGCAACTTAGGGCACATCTTTATTAATTTATTCTATATTCATAACTCTGGCATCTCATGCTTTCCATTTTCACACAGATGTAAAAAAAAAAAAAATATATATATATATATATATATATATATATACACTGCACTGTACATTTCCAGATTAGCTGTTTTACTAGTCTGTATGTATATTAAGCAGCAGTTTCAAGTTGATATATTAGCATATGCCATGTTATTAGTTTGTTTTACTACAAAGTTATTTGTAAACTATGTGACACTCTGTAAATCTTCTGGCTTTATGGTGAGAGTTGTGTCTGTCCACTATTCTTATCCACTACTTATGTAGGATCCTGAAGTTGTCAAGCTTAAAGTGTTACTAAACCCACAGCAGTAAAATCAGTCTGTATATGCAGTAAAGCATGCTTGTTATACTTACTGTGGAACCTAAGGGATTAATCCTCTGAATTGTGTAAAAAGTCTGTTTGATCCTGCCTTCTCTGATCCTTCCCTACTTCCAGTATCCCCTTCTTATCTCCTGATAAGACATATTGTGTGGAGTCATTCTGCACATGCTCAGTTTGGTGTGTATTGCTAGAGTGGGTTTCTTTTCTTGGGAGAGTTCATGTGATTGGCACAGGGCCAGTCAGCACTATCCAGACAGAGGTCAGGGGTTCTGCAATCTCCTAGAGCAAAAGGAAAACTTCTACAAGCTTTAACATGTGCTCTGCTGGACACTGATAGAAGTCACAAGACTGCTCTAACTGTTGATGAGAAAAGGTATTTAGCAGTTCATATTTACTAAAATAATTGCACTTCCATGTTCTGTGTACAGTGGGAGACCAGATATAGTGAATGCAGGGTCCTGGGTTTAGTAACACTTTAAAGATAAAATGTTTCCACAATCCACAAAAGTATCTATGAGTATATATTCCCAGATATTTTTTTTCAAAGATCAAAATCTGTTAAGTCAAAAGATCAAACTCTTTAAAGTGGAACTTCGCTCTCTCAATCAACATTGACTATTTTCACTCCTTATGCCGCTAGCATTAGTAAATAGATAGGAAAGCAGATCATATTTACTTGTTTTAAACATTTTTCAATTACCTGTATGCAATACCTAGGCAAATTATGTCACACATCCCAGAAGTCTTTAGGAGGGGAGGAGGGGTTTTCTCAGCTAAGCACACCCTCCTTCCTACATGCCCGAGCCAAGGGCAGATGGATTCCAAGAAGTAAATGCTACATGAATCATCTGCCCTTACTCAAAATGGCCATGACCAGAAATTCTAGGGGGTGTTTTTCAAAGTGATTTCTCAGCAAAATAAAGCATGGAGACATGGATAGGTGAGTTTGCTTTGAATATGAAAAACAATAAATGGTTTGTGGTGCTCAAATGCAGTGTAATTCATTGCCTAGGATAATTGTCAAGATCCAAGCTGTCTTCACCATGCTTGCATACTATGATACAAACCTTTCTAAATAAAGATCACTAATGAGTGTGTGTGGCTGGGCGGCAATTAACTTACCAAGAGCACTCCTTCCACTACAATTTTAATGATCCAGTTTCCAGGCGTCAAAGAAAATGACTCGGCAAAGCTTTTTCCTGGCACAGTGAGAAATGCTGGCTCTTTACTTGGATGGAACACGATCTCTTTGGCATCCAATGATCCTATAGGTCAGATATATTTTAAACCTTTATCTAAACTTTATCAGAATGAGAATATATACATATTTATTTTATAACACTGCAAACAGAAGAATAAACCAACATATACAGTATTACTTCATTAAATTCTCATACAGTTTGTACATATTTTACTATGCATCTATAACTTTTCTACTGTGTGTTATGAAATTAAACACTTTAGCAAACATTGTCAGGTTTTGGTGTACATTCACATGTACAGTGGGGAAAATAACTATTTGAACCCCTGCAGATCTTGTAGGTTTGCCCACTTACAAAGAAATGAAGGGTCTATAATTTTTATCGTAGGTGTACAAGTGATAGAGACAGAATATCAACCAAAAATCCAGAAAAAACATGATAAAATTGTTTTAAATTCAGTTGCAGTTCAATGAGTAAAATTAGTATTCGATCCCCAAGCAATACATGACAAGGAAAGACATTTATTGTAGTTGGTTACCAGGTTTGCACACATCTCAGGAGGGATTTCAGTCCACTCTTCTTTATAGATCTTCTCTAAATCCTTAAGATTTTTTGGCTGTCACTTGGCAACTTGAAGTTTCAGCTCCCTCTATAAATTTTCTATAGAATTAAGGTCTGGAGACTGGCTAGGTCACTCTATGACCTTAATGTGCTTTTTGAGCCATTCCTTTGTTGCCTTGGTTGTATGTTTTGGGTCATTGTCATGCTGGAAGACCTATCCATGACCCATCTTCAGAGTTCTGGCTGAGGGAAAAAGGTTCTCATCCAAGATTTCACAATACATGGCCCCACGGGCGTAACATCAGGGGTTTCGGGGGGCACAATTGTGACCCTGTTCATGCTCCATGCTGTCTCCCTGTCAAAGAGGAATCCAGAGCAAAGCAGAATCGTTGAACACTGAGCTTTTGGCTCCATTTTCGGGTGAAGACAGCCCTGCTGGGCAGGAAAGTGTCAGTGCTGACAACCAGGCAAGGGATGGACATGGTGCTTTCACTGGGCTGAGCTAGGGAGGAGGAGGAGAGCACTGTCCAGGAGCTGGTACTGCTGTCATTGGGGAGGTAAAAAGATACCGGTTGGATCCGTGCACAGAACAGACACACACCTCCCCACAACTCCTACTGACACTCACACAAATATTATCACAAAATCCTGTAACACCTCCTGAGGGGCCCCCAAGGGACTGTGGGCTCCAGAGGCTGCAGATTTTACTATGAAAGTTTGAGCAGAGGGGGAGCTGGATGGAGAATCTGTCATTGTCAGCAATGGGGGTGAAGGATAATGTGACATTACCAGGATGGTGGGAGGAGGAATCAGTAATCCCCGGGGGGGGCCATGTGTCATTACTAGGAGGAGGGTACCTGAAGGTGGGAGTCATCTCTCATCGCCTGGTGGGGAAGGAGGTCATCTGTCATTACCTGGTGGGGGACGGGGTATTTGTCATTACCTGGTGGATAGAGGGGGGTCATCTCTCATTACCTGGTGGGGGGAGGGAATCATATGTCATTACCTGGTTGGGGGGGGGAGTCATCCTTCATTACCTGGTGGAGGGGGAGAGCATCATCTGTCATTACCTGGTGGGGGGAAATGTGGGAGGCTCTCGAAGGAGGGGTCATCTGTCAATACCAAGAGGAGGCAGGAGGGCATGTGTCATTACCAGAAAGAGGGGTGTTACCTTTCCCTAATACCTTGCACCTCCATATCAATGCAGCCTGGCTTGAGAGAGGTAACTGGATGCGGTTTAATAACATATAAAAGAGAGGTGTTTAAAAAAAAAAAAAGTGTGATATCTGCAGTGGCACACTCTTTGATCAGCCCCCTACCTAGCCCAGTACAGTACCCCCCCCCCCCCCCCACACACACACCCTTGCTCAGCCCTGCATGTGCAGGCCACACTGTGAACTGCTGAGTGAAAGCGGTAAGCTTGTATGTGGATCTGCAAGTCAGAGGGCCTGCTGAGTTTCCTCTTTTACATACAAACCTACCGCTTTCACCTGACAGCTCCGAGCATGGCCTGCCTGCCCCCACCTTGTGTGCACATGCAGACGGCAGCAGGAGAGCGAGATGAGAGAGACAGACACCATACAGCTATGATATTGGATTTTTGGTTATTATTCTGTCTCTACCATTTAAAATACACCTATGATAAAAATTGTAGACCCTTCATTTCTTTGTAAGTGGGCAAACTTACAAAATCTTCAGGGGATCAAATAATTATTTTCCCCACTGTATGGCTATTGTAGAAGTATGCTGTAATGTGGTTGATGGAAATGCACAAACACATTGGGTTAAACAGTACTGGACCTATTTATATCAAAACATGATGTACTTTAAAAGTTTGTCCAGTTTCATGGATTTAAAGTAGAAGAAAAGAGCAATAAAAACATTAAGAATCTGCAATCAGGCTAGTTTACAGAGTTACCATACATGCCTGTGAATTGGGGGTAGGTTTGTAGAGTGATCCCCCTATTTTTTCTACTTTCCTATGACAAAGACTCACATAGGTCTTGCTTTAAAGCTGAACTCCAAGCAGATTAATGCAGCTCTTTATTAATTAATACATCTGTACAGCCTATGTTACCCAACATTTCATATTTCTAACATGTTTCTGTGTTACCATAATGTACTTGTAATAAAAAAAATTATGTTCTCTTTCAATTGCTTCCTTTTTGTGAAATACCTGGTGATCCTACCAGTCCCCCAGCTTTCCTATTTCAAACTGACCACACGTGGAAGAACAGCCATCCCAGCGTGGTCCATTTTCTTCTTTGCATCCTACTTGGGAGCTCAGCCTCCCTGTAATACAATGATCACTTATGCTGACACCCCCCCCCCCCCCCCCGCACAGGGCATCACTGGCAAGATCTGTGTACTGTTATTTCCATGCCTACTGCTGATACGCCACTCTGCAGTCTCCATCCTGACCTTTCAATCTCTCAACCCAGCTGAGAACAGAGGTCATAACATCATTTATGAAAAAAGAAAAAAAGGTATTTTGAATTTTGTATATGTATATACACTTATATTAGATAGATTCATTACACACAGAGTGATATATTTCAAGCATTTCTTTCTTTTAATTTTGATGATTATGGCTTACAGCTAGTGAAAACCCAGTATCTCAGAAAATTAGAATATTACATAAGAACAATAAAAAAAGGATTTTTAATACAGAAATGTTGGCTTACTGAAAAGTATGTCCATGTTCAGTATAGTATGCACTTGATACTGGGTTGGGGCTCCTTTTGCATGAATTACTGCATCAATGCGGTGTGGGCATGGAGGCGATCAGCCTGTGCCCATGCTGAGGTGTAATGGATGCCCAGGTTGCTTTGATAGTGGCCTTCAGTTTATCTGCATTGTTGGGTCTGGTGTCTGTCATCTTCCTCTTGACAATACCCCCCAGATTCTCTATGGGGTTTAGGTCAAGCGAGTTTGCTGTCCAATCAAGCACAGTGATACCATGATCATTAAACCAGGTATTGATACAGTGCTCTAGAATTTCCTAGTAGAGGGCTGTGCAGACTTTGGACTTGATAAAACACAGCAGACCAACACCAGCAGATGACATGGCTCCCCAAATCATCACTGACCGTAGAAACTTCACACTGCACCTCATGCAACTTGGATTCTGTACCTCTCCATTCTTCTTCCAGACTCTGGGACTTTGATTTCCAAATTAAATGCAAAATTTACTTTGGACCACTGAGCAACAGTCCAATCCTTTTCTCCTTAGCCTAAGTAAGACGCTTCTGACGTTGTCTCTGGTTCAAGAGTGGCTTGACACAAGGAATGCGACAGTTGTAGCCCTTGTGAATCTCCCCCAAATTCTTGAATGGCCTTTGCTTCACAATCCTCTCAAAGCTGTGGTTATCGCTGTTGCTTGTGCACCTTTTTCTAGCACACTTTTTCCTTCCACTCAACTTAATATGCTTGGATACAGTACTCTGTGAACAGCCAGCTTCTTTAGCAATCATCTTTTGTAATTTACCCTCCTTGTGGAGAGTGTCAATGACTGTCTTCTGGACAACTGTCAAGTCAGCAGTCTTCCTCATGATTGTGTAACCTACTGAAGCAGACTGAGAGACTATTTAAAGGCTCAGGAAACCTTTACAGGTGTTTTGAGTTATTTAGTTGATTAGAGTGTGACACCGTGAATCTACATATTGAACTTTTTCCACAATATTCTAATTTTCTTAGATACTTAATTTTGCGTTTTCACTAGCTGTAAGCCATAATCATAAAAATTAACAAAAAAACGTAATTAATCTATAAAATATACGAGTTTCACTTTTTGAAATGAATGACTGAAATAAATTAACTTTTTGATGATATTCTAATTTACTGAGATGCACCTGTATATACAGTATTTCATCTTTGTATTTAGCTGTTGCCTGATGTTCAGCTTTGAATTTCTCTTATTGTTGCTGTCATTTACAGGAGGTTAAGATGAAGGCATGCTGCACTCACCTTTGTTCAGCCGAGATCTAAAAGCAGTAATGTGTCCAGTCACAGGATTCACTTCAGGATTAATGTATCTCAAAATAATACGAAATAAGTTGAGATTTGATTTACCCACACTAACTGGGATTCTAACTTCATTCTGTGAAATATATAGAAAATGATTTAGGCATACTTATCAAAGCAGGGTACAGTAACGTACATTGATTGTGCATTTTGAATTGCATTTTGAGTTTATCTTACTGGGTCTGTGCTTACCTCTCAGGACCAGTTGTACATTTAAGAGTTTTCCCTTTAAAATATACAACATTTTTGCATACTTCTATATTTTCTAATGTAAACTTGATGACTGTTGACCCTCTAACCCTAAATTTGACAGACAGCAAAGATATAAAGATAGTTTTAAAGAAAGCACACTTACAAATAATGTCTCAGGTATGAAGAAATCCTTTACCAACTGAGATATTTATTTTGCGGACATGTAGGAAAGGGAGCTGAGCATAGAAAGAAGATGAAAGAAGGGAATGCAGGCTGCAGACAAGTATAACCAGGTCTGGCTGCAGAGACAAAGCAAAAGAAGACATGGATATGAATATCTCCTAATGTTTTTTATAATACTGGAGTTGTCACTACACATAAGAATGCAACAAAAGACTGAACTCCAAGCAGGTATAAACATTTTTTTTTAATTAAGATATGTTTATGTTTTAATGCATTAAATATGTCTAAATTAGAATTTTACATAAATCTAACATACATGCAGCATAATTATAGCATAAGCCTTACAAAGTGCAGTTAGTCCCACAACATACCCATAGGAGGGAAAAGCAAATGAATAACCTCATTGGTGTGCTTCTGCTGTTTCCACTTCTAGGCACAGACTGGAGTAGATATTGGGCTAAGCTGAAACATCTAACTACAGTGTCATCTTAAGCCTGCCTGTGCTGTCTGGTAGGGGTGTCCCAACCACAAGACTGGGAGAAAAGGATGATAAATCTCTTTACAACTGAAACACTTATATACAGTATATGTAATTTAACCATCTCCTGTCTGGCCGTTGTATATAAACGGCCGGACGGTGTCAGTGCAGGGTCGGGTGGCCGTTTATAAACGGCCTCCCAGCACCCTGCTTGTGCGCGCTCCCTCGGAGTGCGCAGCACCGCGATCCGGAACACCGATCGTCGTACGAGACCTCTGTGCGAGGTCCCAATCATGTGATCACTGATTGGCCAATCAGTGATTATATGCAGAGTAGTAAGCCAGATGTCACTTCTGACATCATTGCTTACTACATGTGAAATCTGTGAATGATCACAGAGGTCACATGGTACAAGGCTATTCACAACAGCCTTGTACCATGTGACAAGCTGTGACCCATCACAGCTCACGCAGTATTTCTTAATGGCTGCAAGAGTGCAGCCAGAGAGTAAGAGAAAAAAAAATCTTCATAACCCCCCACAAGTAGTACAGTATCACCATGGTGACACTGTACTGCTAGGGTGACAGTATGTAAAAAAAAAACATAAATAATAATATAAAAAAATAAAATAAAAATGTAAAAAAATGTTTAAAAATTATAATTTATATAATTATAATTAGTTTATAATGGTTATAAACTAATTTTGGTTATTTTTTTTTTAATAAAAAGATAACGGAATAAATTGTGGCCAAGATTTATGATGAAATATTATTTATTTGCAAAATTGTATAAGAAAAACACTTTTTTTCAAAATTTTTGGACTTTTCATTTACATAGCAAAAAAAAAAATAAAAATCCCAGTGGTGAATAAATACCACCAAAATAAAGCTTTATCTGTCTCAAAACAATGCTAAAAAATTCATATGGGTACAGTGTTGCATGACCGCGCACTTGTCATTCAAAGTGTGATAGCACTGAAAGCTGAAAATTGGCCTGGACAGGAAGGGGGTAAAAGTGTCCGGACTAAAAGTGGTTAATGGTTTATTTAGCTGTCTGTCTGGAGTTTACCTTTAACCAGGTGCCGACTCTGAACGTGTTATACACACCCAGAAAGATGTCATCATTATACACAGGCCATGTGTAAACACGTCCAGTCCTTCTGCTCTGCTTCCAGGAACTCCCCCGTACCAGTACTCAGTAATTCAGCTCGGATTAACCACTTCCCTACTGTCCTATAACAGAACTACTGCTACAGGGTGGCAGGGCTGTGCAAAATCACATATATATATATACAGTGAAGGAAATAAGTTTTTGATCCCTTGCTGATTTTGAATGTTTGCCCACTCACGAAGAAATGATCAGTCTAAAAAATCGAATGGTAGGTGTATTGTAACACTGAGAGACAGAATAGCAACAAAAAATTCAAAAGAAATGCAAGTCTAACAAATTATGCACTGATTTGCATGTTCACAGGGGTCAAATACTTATTTTCCTCATGCTATTCTGTCTCTCAGTGTTACAATACACCTACCATTCAATTTTTAGACTGATCATTTCTTTGTGAGTGGGCAAATATTCATATAATATAATTAGCAGGGGATCAAATACTTATTTCCTTCACTGTATATATATTTATATATATATATATATATATATATATATATATATACACATAAAATATTTAGTATTTCCGGTAGGGTGCATGCACAAGCGGCGTGTGCGCCCTATCTGCACCACCATTGGTAGCTTCAGTTGTCGATCACCGGGTCTTGGCCAGAAATTCCCCACTGGCACCCGGCAATTGCCGAGGCACACTAATGGGGGAGAAGTCTATGTGTAAACAATACAGATCTCTCCCCTGTCAGCTCCAGCATGCTGCTTTGCATTCTCTACATAGCAGAGCAATACAAAGCAGCGTACTTACACAGTAAAACACACACAGACAACACAGTAAAACAGCATACAGTTAACTCTTTGAACACCCCAGGTGTTAACCCCTTCCTGCCCAGTGTCATCAGTACAGTTTCAGTGCTTTTTATTATCACTGATCACTGTATTAGTGTCACTGGGGATGTCAGTAATAGTTAGTCAGTCCGCCCCCCCAAGTGTCAGAATGTCCGCCGCAGTCCCGCTATAAGTCGCTGATCGCCGCCATTACTAGTATAGAAAAAAAAAATTCCAGTATATATATACCACCATTTGTAGACTATAACTTTCATGTAAATCAATTAATTTACACATAATAATGTTTTTAGCAAAGACATGTAGCAGAATACAATTTGGCCTAAATGTATAATGACATTTTATTTTTTTTTTATTTTTTACTGGACATTATTAAAAGCAAAATGTCAAAAATATAGTTTTTTCGCAAAATTGTTGTTTTTTTTTTGTTTATAGCACAAAAAATTAAAAATGCAGAGGCGATCAAATAGCACCAAAAGAAAGCTCTATTTGTGGGAAAAAGGGCACAATTTTAATTTGGGGGCAGTGCTACATGACCGCCTAGTTGTCAGTTAAAGTAACGGAGTGCCATATCCCCAAAAAATGGCCTGGTCAGGGGCTAAATCCTCTGGAGGGCAAGTGGTTAATCAAAAAGCCATTGCCCAGTGCACAAACTTCTGACAGCAGGAGCTGTCAAAAAAGCAGTCTGGCAATATTTATCAACAACAATGCTCAACTGTGAATACAGAAACATACAAAGAAACATTTTTTTTAAATTTTGTATCAGTTTATTCACCTACAGATCAAAGTGGTGAAATTGATCTGCAGATGAAGTCAGTTAAAGCAACCTGACAAGTAAAAAAATGTTTTTGTTAATGAAATGTTCCTCTGTTTAACCCCTTATTAATCCTTAGTTTACTCTAATCAGCTCTAATTAACTCCTTATTCTCTTTCTCCATTCAATTGTTATTTTCCTGCTGATTTTTTTTTATCCATTTCTATTTTATTAACTAATAATATTTAAACTTTTTTTTTTTTTTTTTGTCTTGTTTGCCAATATTTTTACACCTTCAACGTATATTTACACATTTCACATTTTTAAAAACTGAAAAAAAGCCCACTTTATTCATTTGTAAATAACTTTGCAATGCTTTGTACCAGAATCATAATTTTAGTGTAACTTTAAACAAGACAAATTACAGAATAAAATGTGCACTTTTTATGTGTAGTAACACAATTATTTTTAAACTAACACTGCTCAAAAAAGGAAAAAGTATATTTTGTTACATTGTAAAAGGATTGCGGAAAAAAAAATCATGGTTGCAAGACAATATTTAACGAAAAGAAAGCCTTGTATGTTATTAAAAAAAAACAATATATGTATTACATTTTTATCTTAAGTAATGACAATTATCACCAAATAAACAAGCCCATAGCAGAAATGTAAAAATTGCTCTGGTCCATAGGGTGTGAACAGGTGTGAGAGGCGAAGTGGTTATAGTGAAACTCCAGCTTAGTTTAAAAAAGAATACCCATACATAGATTACAAGAATACTATCAAACTTTATTGCAGATTCCTGTTCATTTTCTTTGGCGATAATACAAATAATATAAACATCATTTCATATTATCTGCTACAATTTTATGAATTGACAGCCAAATTGGAGATTCAAAAGGAAGGAGAGAGTTACGTCTGCAGTAATCCTGTATTAAAAAACACTGCTACAAGCATTCTCATGTCATGAAAGTAGACCGTGATGCGGCCTAAAAGATAATACTCTTTAATACCATATCTCCCAACTGCATTCAAAATAAATGTATGTACAGTACTTAAGAAGGAATCTCTCCCTAAGCTGCTCTTGCAGCTTGCTATGTAGGGTTTGTCACTCAGGCTAACAGACCACCCACATGTTTGTTTCAAGACTAATGACTGACATGTCTAGAAAAGGTAGGAGGGTCTCCATTAAGTTCTGTTAACAAATGGCTTCCACTTAGTATGCAAGATTTTTTTGTATACTTGGTATAGAGAATACTAGTCACATTCAACTGGAATTGTTTAGTAACATATTGCCACTCCTCAAAGTTACTTACTCACCCATATGGGCAACTCAGTCACTTTAACCACTTGTCTACCACCACCATTTATAAATGACGGTAGGTAGACAGCGATTTTAAAGGTCCTCTGAGACTGCTATAGCAATCAGAAGTGTATTTAGATTTGTAGAGCGGACGATTGACTTTCTAGTGTGATTTGGTTTTACAGCTGCCTGATTATTTCTAAAGCCTGCCTGGAGATACTATAAATGCTTTATTATCCATGATCAAATTTGGAGTTGGGCTTTAATGGGATGCTGCAGCTCTGTCCAATTTCAAATTTTGTACCTGTATGGATGACATCTGAGCATATCCCCGCCAACTAAAGCCAGGAAACTCCTCTTCGTTGTATCCAAAACGAATGGCCTTCCCATCGGAACTTGAGCCATCCTCTATTTCATATTTCATTTGATAAAGGTCAGGGAAGTAGAAGCTTTGCTTTGGTCTGGAAAAATAATATTCAGAAATTACATTTAAGCATGTATCCATTGTAAGACATGTTTACATACCAAAATTCTAATATAAAACTGCAAACAGCAAACATAAGCTGGATTTAGATGAAGCACATTACTATGAATGCTAGATATATGTTATCGAAAGAAACCACCACTTTAAGATACAAATGGGCTCTGTTCAACCATATAATAATCAGGTCCGCCTTCATAAATCTAACATGCATTTGTATGCTATAAAATGCATGTGACTATAAAAAAAAAAAAAACCCTGAAATATTATGGTTACATTTTTTACAGCTTTAGCCATCCTGGATTCTTTAAACATGAGAAGTAAGATCCACATTCAGAAACAGATGTGAAGTGTTTTAGACTAAGAATTTAAAATTGCTTCTATAAATGTAATGTATAGTGGTTTTGCACATATTTTACATTTAGAGTGTAGATTAAATAAAAAAAATATATATATACATTTTTTTCCAGTCTGGTAGCCATTAAATATTTAATATAAATATAATTCTTTTCACATGCTGCACAGTTTCTGGTAACCATGAGTTGAAATAGGCATGCTGTTTACAATAAGATTATAAGATTAATAATCAGAGTCGTTAGAGTTGTGATTTATCATATAGCAGAGAGCTTTATCTTAAGTTCCATTCAGATGCCCCATCTGGAAAGGAAATAAGTACTGCCATGCTTTCTCTTCAGCTAACCCACAGAGCTCTGGTAATCCATGTATTAAATGTTTTATTTATTAATTTTAATGTTATTGTAAAACAAATCATAGTTTTTATAGGGAAGCTGAAAAAGAGTGTAATTAGAAGCGTAAAAAGAAGCATAAACTGTTGAATTTTAATGATTTAGTGATTAGTGATTTAGTGATTTCCATCTGCCAGGGGCATTAGTATGGTATATGTCTAGTTTCATTGGTCCAAGATGAACCAATATAACTATTTATAAAATACCCATGCCTAGATTTATTCTATAAAGTGGTTGTAAACCCTTACATATACCCAGTGAAGTGACTGGACTCATGTGATACACAGAGATAAGTCCAAAGGTCCTCATTTTTTGCCCCCACAAACACTTTAATTTGTTCGTAACATTACAATCAAGAGACAATATTTTGGTACAGATGATGTTTATGTAGATGTTGGTTCTAGCTATTCACAAATACTTGAGCCCCCTACACAATTATCCTTCCCGGCCCACTGTGCCATTATTAATCTAGGGCAGGGGTGTCAAACTGGCGGCCCTCCAGCTGTAGTGAAACTACAAGCCCCATCATGCCTCTGCCTTTGGGAGTCATGCTTGTAACTGTCAATCTTGCAATGCCTCATGGGACTTGTAGTTTGGCAACAGCTGGCGGGCCACCAGTTTGACACCCTTGATCTAGAGGAATTAATGGATGAGGGAGGTTTGTCCTCAGATTCAGATCAAGACACTCAGAGTATTCATAGAATGTTGTTGAAAACCTGCTCTGATTTTTACCCTGTTAGCTCTCATTGTGCCTAGATGGATACATTTCAGAGGTTTGTGGAGCATGATTTAGCTAAATTAGCCACCAAAGTTTCTTTGAATCCACATATTGTTTCTGATAATCTTACTCCTGAGGAGAGAACAGCTTTACAGAATTTAATGCATGTCTATGGTGATCCACAATGCTGATAAGGGTGGTATGGTGGTAATAATGGACACAGAAGAAGTTATAGAAAGGAAGCTATGAGACAGTTATCAGACAATAGAACATAAAGGGTACTGAAGAGTGACCCAACCAAGGCTTATAAGATGACTGACAAATTTAATTGAGAAGTGAGTTTACCTATAGTATTCAGCCCTAAAGAAGCAAAGACTATTGTTCCAGAACATCCCATTATACTGACTTTTTTACCATTTTCCCAAAGCCCCATAAAGGCTTGGATCCTCTGTTGGGTTGTCCAATAGTCACTGGCATTAGATCTCTAAATGAAAGAGTCAGCCAATGGCTAGATGGAAAATTACAGCCTCTTGTCAGTGGTTTGCTGGGTTATATGAAAAATACTAGTTACTTACTACAGGTAATGAATGATGAATTATGGGAAGAGGCGTTTACTTGGCTGTCATTTAATGTAGCAAGCCTGTACTCCTTGATCCCCCATGATTTGGCATTCAGGGCAGTGACTTTATATATAAATTTTATACTGATTTATCCCCTGAATATTGTGATTATATTGAAGAATTACTGGACTATTTATTGAAACACAATTATTTTGTTTTTGATGGTGTGTGCTACCTCCAGAGATGTTGGTCTACGATAGGTGCCAAGTTTTTGCCCTCACTCACCAACCTTTTCATGTGAGTGGTCCCGCATCTTTGGAGATAGTAATCCATTTAGGGATCAGGTAAAAATGTATTATAGGTACACTGACAACTGCTACTTATTTGCAATGGCAAAGTGTAACAGTTGGGCTTATTTCTAGAGTACATTAATAACAACAGCTATAATTTGTATTTCACTGGACAATCGCACAGCAAAAACATCACATTTTTGGATTTACATCTTATTGCAGAGGAACAGCGGGTTGGAACTCAATTGTACAGAAAACCTCTTGCAGGTAACAATCTTTTATTAGCACAGTCTAGTCATCCCAAACCAGGGGCAGACTCATAACTCATGGGGCCCCCGGGCAATAAGGGATGATGGGGCCCCTGTGTCCTTGCCCTAACTCAAAAAAGCCTATGAAAAAGGTACCAGGGGCATCTCATGGAGCCCCCTACTGACCCCCGGGCCCTCGGGCAGTGCCCAAGTTTCCAAATGGTCAGTCCGCCCCTGTCCCAAACACACCATGAAAGGGAAACCAATGAGACAATTTCTATGGCTATGCTGCATATACAGTGACTCCTCAGACTGTGAACATGAATCACAATTATTGTACCATCAGTTTATTAAGAGAGGTTTATCCTAAATGGGCCCTGAAAAGGGCTTATTTAACTGCTATAAAAAAAGAGAGAGGTCTGATATGTTTAAGGGTACTAAGAAGACTCAATCAGGAAAGTACAGTCATCCATCATTGGTACTGTCTTATGGTTTAGAATTCAGATAGGTCAGTAATATTATTAATAGATATTAACTTATTTTATATAATGATCAGACCTGTTCTGAAATTCTTAGTGATGGTATCAATATTATTTCCAGAAGGGCACCTTCTTTAGATAGTTTTATGTTCTAGTTTCTCCAATCCTGCATCATCTCAATCTAACACCTGGCTTCACTTTAAAGGAAACTTTAAATGTGGTGCTGCAGAATGCATGTCATGTTCCCACATAATTATGGGTGACAAGTTTTGTTCTATCCATAATGGTAAAATATTTCAAACATTTTTTTTTAACTGTAATATGCGTAATAATATGTGAGCTATTTGATCACTCACAATTTATGCCATGTACTGTACAAAATGTGGGATGCAGAAGAGTAAAATACAGATTCCATGAACATTTAAATGGTTTGAGAAATAATCGCTCAACTAATGCAAGAGAGAAGTTTTTTGGATTTTTAATTTGCAGACTCGCATCCCTCAGGGGTTAAACTCTGAATGCGATGTTACTCATTTTTATGATTGAGGCTTTAGATGTTTGATTTTGTTTTTCTTAGTTTATTTTTGTTTTTGGTATTGTTTCAATACAATAAAGTGCCAAATTACTTCTCTATATTCATAGTGAGACCATGAGAGCTTTTGCCATACGTGTATGATACAAAACTATTATTGACTACTTGCATATACATATTTATTCCTAAACTAATCTTTATATATAAAAATGGATGTTTATATCTATTATTTTGGGAGTGGCTATGTTTGTTTTCTGCCCCCTATTTTTTTTGGGATGTGCAGTCTATGATCTCATTTTAATGATTAAATATGTTTTTATTTTAAAGTGACTTGTATTTAGCATGCCTATGGGAAGGACGAGAGAGCACACAATTTAAATCAGCTGGGTATTCATTATTTAAGCTGTGTTCTGACAGGTGTAATTCAGTAATGATTAAGCACATGTTTGTGTGAAACACACTTACTGTCCTCTGTCCATTGTGGGAGCTGTCATGTTTGTATTACAATTTCTTTGAAGATTTCAATTAATTATGTTTTATCTGCAACATCGTTGAAGTGCGGCCAACCTATTTTCATGCTCTCCTATTGCTACGATCATGGATGATATGTGGAGGGGCTGTGTGATTTTGCACTCGCCTGGAGCGATTTTATTTATCTTCCTCCTACATAAGTTGTACCTGTATCTGCAGTCTTTGCTTATCTACATCCATTCAAAGTCCAGAAATCATAAAGCTTGTCTGAGTTGTCAGAAAACAGGGGTGGTGAGCTGAAGTTACATTCTGCAGAGCTCAGTGGGGAGATCTCTGAGAGCTGATTGGAAGGAAGGGACACACCACCCTTCACACAGCATACATGAACAGAACTGAGTCTGTCAATCACAGGCTGTGTGCTAGAGATCCCACGTCACCTTTTTCTCTCTTGGTGTCAGGAAATCTTGTCAGAAGTGGCTCATGCAGAGGAACAAAGCAGACAGAAATTACACATAGTGCTCTGGATTGAGACAAGTACACACAATATTGGGATATGCTTTGTTCATATTTCATGTCTGAGGTTTACAACCACTTTAAGTGACAATTACACATTATCTTCTTTGTCTCCAACAAAAAATCGTTTAGTGGAGCTTTACCAAGAAAAATTGTTAAAGTAAAGGATTGACACAAGCTTACAATCTGATTGCAGAATAACTGTACAGTAACTTACAATATCTACACTTTAAAGTACATTATTAAACCTACATTTTACAGTTGTTGCCTTCAATGTTTTTTCTGCAAGAGCATTTTCCCGACGATTCATCACAAAGATGACCAACTGCTCCTCCCACATCACACTGACAGCCTATCAAAGTAACAAGATGCAAATAATGTCAGAGCAAACTAAAATCCACATCAATTGAAAACATACACTACTGTACTAAATTGATAGTAATGTACATCATTTTTCTGTGTTGAAGTCATTACCCAGCATAGTTAGGAAAATATGCTGCAACTTTTCTATATAACAAACATATGGTACTTTACCTTTGCAACCAAAATAATTCTTGCCTTCTAGGAAAAAAAAGCCATCGTCACAGGTTCCACAGGATGTGCTGCAAGTGTTTGGTTTACAATGGCAGTCGCCATCAGTCTGGGCAAGAAAATGTTGAATATAAACAAAAATTTGGCTTAATTCATAAAAAAGGCTTTCTTAACATGATGTCACATTAAAGCATATCTAAACTCAAGAACAAAAATATAATATATTACAGCTTACTAGTCCTTAGAGGTGGTGGTTTTATTAGTTTTCTTTTGTTCAGGCTTTTTTCATGTTATATTTCCACCTGGTAATCCTGCCAGCAGCTTATTTGCAATGAGGGAAACAGGGCATTTGCGTTGGGCGGCAATTTTTAGTGGTGCGGCACCACCACCTGGAACCCGAAGAAAAGACAAAAGTGGCACGGATGTGGACCTGGTGAGGTAGCACCTGAGCTTCGGGATCTGAGGATGATGTGCGCTGCTGGAGGGTTCCAGAGGTTAAGAGGTTAACGGTAGTGCACTGGGTAAATCGGATGGGTGGCGGCAGGAAGGGGGCAGGTGAGGGAGAGGGGGCACCCAATTAGTGTTGCCTAGGACAGCACAGGGACTAAATACACCACTGAATCCTTCCGGTGACACACTTCATGTCCTCAGGTAATAACACTAACTCTCTGTACTAAATCTACAGAACTACAGATCTACTAGATCTATAAATTATAGAGCATTCCCTCCTCTTCTCCATAGCAAAGCTGGTAAATATTTTATAGTTCATAGACATAGCTGAGAATAATGCAGCTGCCATGAATGCAGCATAGGCAGAGAGCACAGAACGTTTTTAGCACGCAGATTTCTGGCAGGATCAACACGCATTATTTGCACTTATTGAAAAGATATAACAAAGTTTTTTCAATGTTAAAGTTTATATACACTTTAAGCAATAAGATCACTGTAGAAGTAGGAAAAAGCGTGCTGCGTTGCATGGGTTGGACGAACAGAGCTGGGGCTGCTTTTACCTGCTAACCACTCAGGCCAGGCAAGGTGTGCGACGGTCAGGTTATCTCTCCTTATTTCTACAGCGTGCTTTGGGTCTAAACGAACCTTTCCTCAGTCTGCACCCTCACCAGTCAGCAGCATGATAATCTTTGTTCTGTTAACTTACTCTTTATATACATTCATTTTATACTGTTTTGTATTTCAAGGCTTACATGCGGTATAATTCACCTTGATGCCACCAATTCTACCTATTGTGTAGCTAGAAAACCTTTAGAGAAAATATATGATTATCAATGAACACAGCCAAGAGTAGATGTTCTCAGGAGTTTGTTGTTTTTGGTCTGGTGTCAGTAAGTTGATCACTGACATCATTTCTCCAGGGCTTGCTATTGACAGCATTGCACATTTCCTTGGGAATTCTCCAAATATTCTATTAAGATAGGTTTGGGAGCTAATATAGTTTATTTTGGAATCGGATTCTGGTAGTAGACCACAAATTAAGTAGGAGTTTTCAGAAGACTTCATTCCTCCTTAATAAAGATGGTTTACTTTAAAGTAGAACTAAACCCTCCACAAACACTGCTTTGTTTTGTAGTAAGCTTTAAGAAATTCAGCTTCTCCATAAGTATTTCCATTTTTCATGCAATGTTTACCTGTTTTTGACAGACTTTCTGATTATGCTGAGCAAAGTTCAGCAGCTTTCTCGGCTAACTTCCAGGGATGGTACGTTTGCCTCAACAGTCACAAGTACATGTCCATTTGTGCCCCTGACCCTTATTCCCAAAGCGACTGTCACTCAAAGTAAGGGAGGACTTTCAGGAACACTTTATTTGCAAAAATCATCTGGTCTCTATGGGTTCAGTCCAAACATGTAGATAAGCTGTGTGCCAGCATATCAGCTTGTAGTTCTTGCCAGGATTACCAAATAGGGTGCCAGTTCTGCTGTCCAAGATGCTATGAGGCTTCATTGTCACCCTATGAGGAAGTCACTTGAGGGCAGGATCACCAAGTATGTTTACATTCAATGCAACCCCCCCCCCCCCCCATCAACCAGCAATTATTGGTTATAGTTTAAAATGAAAGGGAATAAACAATAGCCAAAGATGAATGTTTTGATCTTGTCAAAGGAAGCACCCCAGTCATTAATATTGCTGTATTAATTGTATGCATATTGTATCAGCACAGTTTTTATACATAAATGCACATACAAATATACTGATAATTTCATTTATTACCTGGTGACATTCCCTATTCCACTTATTGTTCCATCTACCTCACAGGAACAATCTGAAAGTAAAATTAAGCTTGATGTTATTTGTAGAGCTGACATGTTACATCAGATGCACTAGGCCTGCACAGCACTGTAACTGGGTAGCATTACTGACATGCAGTGCAGTGGTCCTGGCTTCATACCAGTATGCATGTTCCCCAAGTTTTTATGAATCCTCCTGGTGCTCTTTTTTTCTTTTCATATTTCATAAAATAGTGGCTGCACTAAAGTGGCCATTCTGTAAGCATGATTGTGGTGAGAACACTAGACTGTGAATGGTTCAGAACTGTTGCTGTATTGCAAAATGTCAGCAATATAAAATTATAAAAAATAATAATTACTTTTGAATTTTAGAATAACAACTACCTAATAATTTGTGATAATAAAAACTGTAATTTTAAGGAATTCAACACTAGATCTACCTAAGCTTAAAATTGCTCCCACCCCCTACTAACTCCTATACTAACTAGGAAAAAGCATACAGGTGGCGCAAACACCTTGTGCATTATCCAAGGTTTATTTAAAAATGTGAAAAAGGACAAAAAACATATTCACAAATATAGCATGTATATAAAGCCTGTAAGACCATGGAGATGGCCACGGTCCGACTGATGGTGTGGCCAGCCTGCTGACGCGTTTAGGGGGACTAATCCCTTTCCTCCGAGCTATTTATTTGAATATATATAATGATATTTTAATAGCTCTGAGGAAAGGGATTTGTCCCTGCACCATCAGTCAGACACTGCCACTTGTATTTTTTTTTGTTCTTTTTGCACATTTTTAAATAAACCTTGGATAATGCACTAGGTGTTTGCACCACCTGCATGCTTTTTTTCTAGTTGTTGATTTCCCCATCTGAGGAGGGCTGCATCTCCGGAACGCTATCCATAGGTTTTCATGCTCTTCTTCCCCTGGCCTTCCCCTGGCATTGATTCCCTCAAGGCGCTGGAGAGTATATATATTTTTGTCCTATACTAACTACCCTGTGAAAGGAAGATGCTTATTTTGTGTATTCTCAGGACCTTCCTGTCCAGTTACATGATCTCCACAGTGGCCGGCTTCAGGAGAGCGTGCCAATAACGTAGGGAATGTCTGGGCAGTGATGTCACCCATAGGCTTACTATGAGCCATCCATTGTCAGCTGTCCCTCCTTTTCCCCAAGGCTGCTGCCGGGAGCCAATCATGTGAACGGACTGGAGCACTCTGAAAATAGGTAAGTATAAGCATCTTCCTTCTACAGGGTAATTAGTATAGGATTTAAAGGGGGATAGGAGCAGGATTAAGCTTAGTTAGAGTAATCCTGGACTTCCACTTTAGGTACTCAGAGCATATAAATTACATTCTAAAAGCCTGCTATCAGTTTGACAGCTGAAGTTCTGATCTGTACATCAGAGTTACTATTAGTGCCTATTTCAGCTCAGAGAGGCAGAAACAGCTGCCTGTCCTCAGTGCTTGCTACAATGCAACAAAAAACACTAGTAATTTGCACCTACTAGCTCCAAGTTTGAGTTAATTTATTCACCAGTCCTCTTCAAACTAGTTCCAAAGTCAAAACTCTTTTACCTTAAAGTAGAACTATAGCAAAACTGTTTTGTTCATTTTGGACAGAGTAAGGAAGGGTTATAACTTCTGTCATCTGTGTCCCATTGGGGAGATTTAGTTTCACTTCCTGTCCTATAGCCAAAACCGGAAGTGAAAGGAAATCCCTGCAAATTAAGGAATTCGTTGGTGCCCCCCCCCCCCCCCCCCCCCCCAGGTCACCAGAACTAGTGTCCCCATTGGAAGATTTCCGCTCTACTACTTTTCTGGGGACAACCCACAAATGGGGATTTTAGTTTCCTTTACCTTTCAACAATAATGGTAAACAGGACAGATAAAGATGGTGACACCTGACAGGTGTTCTAATATCTCTCCACTCTGTCCAAAATGTAAAAAAAAAAATTGTTGCCTTTAGCTATAATTTAAAAAATTCCTTGCATTAAGGTAAAAAAAAGCTCCACTACCTGTTCTACCCCATCTTCCCCCCTGCTGCTGATCCTTAAACATTTACCTGACTCCTCTCACTCTCACTGCTCCACTGAGAGCCCCAGAAGACATAGGCTCCTGCTGCTGTCAATCAAACTCCTATGAGGAGGAAGCAGGGGCATGGCTTATGAGCACTGTGTGTGTCTATGGTCGCACACAGCCCCACTTAGAATACCTGGCTTGTTAAGAAGGGCCCCTTGAGGTGGAAGCAGTTGAGCGTACCGGCGGGGGCTGCCAAATAGGAAGTAAGGGGCCATTGCACAGAGCAGCAGGCAAAATCCTTTAAAATCACTTTAAGGCTGTTAACATTAAAATACTCAACTTAAGTATATTTTAATCATGTGATACATTCAGTTCTCATTCTCAATAATTTTATCTTATCTCCACTCACTTTTTTCTCTATATCTTTTGACTTATTCAAAATTTGCGCAAAACTGCAGTGTGTTATATTTAGTAAAATATATTATCACAGTATAGTTTCATTCTGGAATAGGATGCTCCCTGAGTCATAAAGGGATATCCTATTTAAAATAGGCCTGGTCTGACACTCTAGCATCCATGGCATTTACTACATGGGCTGATGTATATGAATGCCTTTGTGAATAGGTCCTGGGGACCTCTTAACCAAGATGAACCCCTTTTTTTTACCACACCAGCAACACAGAGACTTGTATCATTCCTTTGCATCAAGTTATGTTGGGATATCATTCGTTATTTTGTAAGTACATATATTGCATCAAGGCAGCCCATTAATTATGACTGACTGCTAACATATTTCAGTGGACATAACATTTCACATGACCCTTTTTTTTTTTACAGTTCAGCACACCCCAATACATAGTATGTGTTTTGTGGTGCACTGGAGCCCAAACTGTAACAATTTTTTATTTATACACATTAACGGCACATTCATTTTACTAGGCTTTGGACATAGAAAAATGTTTAACTACCTACAGCAAAGGGATATTAGCTTTAGACCTAGTTTTCAAATGCATAACAGAAGCTTACCAATGCAGCCTTGTGGATTTTCTTTATCCATATTCCAATATAGTGGCTTGCAATGATCACAGGTTATACCCTCCACTCTGGGCAGGCATTGGCAGTGGCCCTGTAAAAATCAGAAAATTATGTAGGTAATGTAAACCCTTTTAACCTTCACCTGTTTATCAACAACTATTAATATTGTTGCAGATATAAGTGTATGTATAGCCAAAACCCTTTGAATAGAGCAGCGATGGGTTAAAACACTACTTAGGTTTTTTTATGTCTTTTTGTGTGCTGTCTGCATCTCATTCGGAGACTTCACTTCATGTCCTGTCCAAGAGACCCACCAGAAAGTAAAAAGAAAATCTCTACAAACTAAGTGGAAATCCCCTTTTAGACAGTTGTCCCTGGTCCAGGTCTCTCAATTTGTTGGCCTCTTGTTCTTGTTGTCAACAATATTTCCAGCAATTACACAATTAAAAATTCTAGGAGAAAATTAATTAACCAAATGTTGTGTCCCATGCTAGAATTTAAAAGGATCTCAACAGACATCTGAATTGACATTTGAATATTTTCCCTCACCTCTTGGCTCCTGCTGCTGTCAATCACAGCCAATGAGGACAGAGCAGGGCCGAACCGCACTCTGTGTGTGAATAGATCATTTCCATGCACAGGAGTGTGGCTCGGAAGCGAGCCTGCTCGATGGCTCCCATAACAAGAGGTTTGCTATTGGGGGCACTCGGCAGGGGGGAGGAACCAGGACCACCAGTGGCAGATCCAAAAAGAAGAGGATTGGAGCTGCACTGTACAAAACCATCACACAGAGCAGGTAGGTATAACATGTTTATTTATTTGTTTTTTAATTACTACCTTTAGAATCACTTTAGGCTTTTTACTATATCCCAGTACTATGTGAAGTATATATGCATAATGAAGTGAGCACCAGGGCTGATTTACTGATAATACTTGCTTCAGTCAATGGTATTAGAATAACTGTTGAAAGGAACTTCAATTTCAAAAGGAAGAGCTAACATTGCTCATGAAATAAATGGCTAACATGGCATGGGGTATGATAGGAAGTAATACTGTATCTGTAAATCCTTACTCTTAGTAAAAGGTGTTCCTTATGTCTTCCATTTTTTACACACAACATAACCCCCCATATTCCCCCTCCTTTTTTTTGCTGTGTTTTGTTCTGTGTATTGTTAATTATTTTCTGATGTGTATTTTGGGCCTACCTATGTTATTTTAGATGGCCTTGCTGTGTGTCATTTGGAATTTAATGTAATTATAAAATTCACATGTAGCGTACAATGTATTACTCTGGTTGCACATTCAATGTTAACAAAATTATTTGTGTAACAATATTCCAGTTTTTGATTTGGAAAAATAAAAAGTAAAAAAAAAACCAAGAACTATCACACAATAAACAAGAACTCTAAGGAGAAAGGAAATGACCTAATTGTTGAAGTCAAGAGGATAGCAACATACATCTGAACTGTCTCCTATGATATCAGGAAAAGTCAAAACAACGTACAGCTTGACGCGCTCAAATGTCGCAACCAAAGCAACCCTATAAGTGATAATATAAATTAGTCCAAATGTGAAAATAGTCCCAATGTATTGAACCATGCAGTAGATCACCACGTGTCTTCAATATGATTAGTGCTCCACCACCAGAAAATGGTAGGGCTCTTACCAGAACATATGGACCCTTACACAAGAGTCACAAACGCATTAGATATATCCACCAAATTCCTCAGAATTGGAGGAAGTTAGATCATGGTACTGGATGGCCTATCACCTTCAATTCCTCTCCATTCTTAATCTCACGATTATACCTCTCAGCATGACCATGCAGAGAAAGACAAAGGGGCGACCATCGCATAAAACCATAAAACACGTTTATTGATATAAAGTATTGCACTCACATTTGATAAGCAGATTAGCACTGTATACAGTGTATTCTCATATCCCAGATAGATGTCCAACACTGCTTTCTAACACCAGAAAGTGTACCTGTTTCTGGGATATGAGAATACTCTGTATACAGCGCTGACCTGATTATCTGAATGTGAGTACAATACTTTATGTCAATAAACATGTTTTATGGTTTTATGCGATGGTCGCCCCTTTGTCTTTCTCTGCATGGTGATGCTGAGAGGTATAATCGTGAGATTAAGAATGGAGAGGAACTGAAGGTGATAGGCCATCCAGTACCATGATCTAACTTCCTCCAACTCTGAGAAATTTGGTAGATATATCTCATGCATTTGTGACTCTTGTATAAGTGTCCTTATATTCTGGTAAGAGTCCTACCATTTTCTGGTGGTGGAGCACTAATCATATTGAAGACACATTGTGATCTACTGCATGGTTCAATACACTGGGACTATTTTCACATTTGGACTTATTTATATTATCACTTATATGGTTGCTTTAGTTGTAACATTTGAGCGCGGCAATCTATTTATAATATTTGTATACAATTGACCTGTTTGTCTTGCCAGCAGCTTTTTTCATTTATTCACTATTTGTGCAGATTTTTTTTTTTTTTTAACTTACAGCTTGAGAATTGATGGTCCCAATGGGGTTACAATCACCATTAAAGCCTGTAATATAAGATAATAAAAATAACTTCTGGGAACACTATCCAAAAGTAACAACTATAGAGTAAAACTATAAAAATAAAACTATACAGTGCATTATATACCACAATGTTTATACGTTCAGATGTGGATAAGTACAGTATTGCTGTTTATATGAGAAAAACCCAGTATGTGCTACCAGGGCAAAAATATTGACCATGTTACTATATGTTTAGATGTGAAGAACGAAAGACAAGATGCTGCTAAGTATTTCCACCTGCTCTGTATGAGATATGTTATTTTCAGTCTATTTTGTTCACAGTAACCCTGTATATTTAACGCTTTTTTGCCTAATAAAAACATATTATACAAAGAAAAATCTATAAAAGGGATAGCAGACCTCAGCCAACGTGCTGGTTGAGCAGTTAGCAAGCTGGGTTTATGGCATGCAAATAGGGTAAGCTCCTGTTTTAATACGCAAACTATAAAAAAACTATACATTATATAAAAAATATGATTTATTATTATTATTATTATTATTATGTACTTACATATCCTAGAGTTTTAACAACAAAGTTACTATTTCCCTGCCATATAGTGACATTAAAAACAGTGTTTTTCTCTGATATGTGGTGCATGACAGCTTATTTTCTAAAATAGGTCATCTCTTATCTCTCTGGTGACCTAAAATTACAGTTTGACAGTATTTTCAAGACAACCTAAGTTACAAACACAGAGATGACTCTATTGGTTGCTGCCTATAGACAAAAAGTTAGTGTAGCCTAGCCTTCAGGGTAGACCCAGGGTACATTTATTTAGCTGTAGTCCCTACCTGGCCATGGCAGATATTCCTTATCCAAGCTTTCTTGGGGTGAAAACAAATCAAACGCCAAATACCTTTTCTAGCTGATTATTATTTTTCCCTTGGGGAGGCCAGTGCCAACAAAGTCAAGGTGCATCCCTTCCTCTCTCCAAACATACACATTTTCCTGATGCCCACATTAATATTTATACCATGATCTTTCATTACCAACATTGACAGCTGGATTGTACATGATCCTGCTACTGGATTGTATTATCTGTAGGTAGCTTTTACCTGCAAAATGCTCTACTGGTTTCTCAGTAAATAACAACAGATACAAGTTGCTGCAAGTATAATACTAAACTACTTCTACAGCTAACTGAGCGATAACTTATTACGGTTATTACTTATTATTGTATATGGTTTACACAGGCTGTAGCTTGTACAAGAGAAATGTGTACAGAAAGAAATGTGAAAGAATGTTTAACAATTTTAGCAAACTTGCAGCAGTTTTGTTGAAGCCTTCAAAGCACCATCCACCTACAGTTTGGGTGGGAAATACAGATCTTAATGGGAGCGAAGACTGCCACTAGTGAGCTTTAGCACTACTTGAAGTGTGTTGAAAGCCTCCAGCAGCCTACAAACAGCTTATTTAAAGTGGCAGACATAACTCCCATTAAGATTTATGTTTAACATTTTCATAATAGAACTTAAGATCTCTTTAAAGACTTGCACAAACCTGCTTTGCAAAGTTTGCTTTACACACATTTTATTTACAAGCTAATGCTAGTGTAAAATCAGCCTAAATATAATTTGTGCACAGATAGAAAATCCTAGATTTTACCTACTCATTGAAAGAAAACACAGAAGCTTTCGAAAAAGAAACAGCCTTTTAGGGTATTTGGCTTAAAGTGGAGCTCCAGTAATCTTGTAATTTAAAAAATCCCCCCCCCCCCCACAATTGTTTTGCTACAACTATACTCTAAATCAGCATATTGTATATTTGCAACAATGTTTTTCAATAAAATCCAGCATTACTTACAGCACCCCCTGGATCATGTAAGCGGCCATTCAGAGTGTGGGTATCTGAAGCCTGCTAGGAGCTTTTTCTGGGATTAGGTGCAGCTGGCTACCCAGCATGCACCTCCTGATCTCATGCATGTGCAGTGGAAACTAATCGCGGAGCAATATGTGTATTGCAGGCTGCCATGCAATGGTGGTGTCGGGGAAGTTCCTGCCCTGTTGTTATAGCTACCTGTCAATCAATCAACTCCTGGGATTGATGATGCTGGTATCCCAGGAGCCAACAGTAGAAAGGAAATTAGGTACCTCGCCGCGGTGTGTAGTAGGACAGAAGTAAAGCAATTTTTTACATCTAAAGGTACTAAACAAAAAAAATTATAATATACAAAAATTAATGGCACAGAAATCAGCAACAAATGCGGCATGGTTGCAAAATAGGGTGGAGCTTTAACATCTGAATGTCAAGGGATGTGAGTGAGCAAGACTATCTATCTGCATTATGGGTCATTTGATATTAATTAAGCACTCATGTATACTCTAAACCAGCCAATAGACTTCATGACCCCCTATAAGCATGACAATGGATGTCTGCTACAGCTGTGGTAACACAAATAGTATTTTCACATCTCAGGCAACCTATGAGTCTTCCACTATTATGGAAATTACAATCCCATGGACACAAGTAACTACTCCTGGTTACAAAACCTAATGTGTGCTGAATAGCAGCCAGATTCTAGGTCATAAAGCACTCAAAAGGTCTATGAGAATCCAAGCCTGAACCTACAACCTTTAGTCAATCAATTTAGTCTGTCAGTGTCTCTTCTTGCTGAGCTACCTGGGATGCTGGACAGCTCTCTGGACAATTCCTTGAATGATCCTGCCTTGAACCTTATTTCTCTTGAGTTTAGCTCCTCCCATGAATTTCCTATGTTAGCCATGCCTTTGCACTTCCTGATTGCCAGATTATTGTGCTCTCTCTCCAGCAAATATCTCGCTCTTGTTACTTACACTGCTGTCTATATCTCTGCTACCATCCTTTACTAACTTTTGGCTTGTTTTTTCGACTATGCTTCTGCTTGATCCCAACCTGCAACCACTTGTTACCAACCTTTGGCTTGTTTACTGACTATCCTTCTGCTTCATCCTAACCTGAAACCACTTGTTACCGACTTTTGGCTTGTTTACTGACTATGCTTCTGCTTGATCCCTACCCACTATATCTGCTACATTGCTACTAGACCTTGGCCTGATCACCTCCTTGTGGGGTGATCCTGAGGACTACGACCTAGTGCTAATATGCAGCAAAACCTATTTCCACCATCAGGAGCTCTTGTGAACACCAATTAGTGCCTAGACACCACAACTCACATGCGTTCATGTCATCTGCCTGTGTGATCTGCTTGTATACCTATCTACTGGTCAGTGGGAGCTGTCGCAAACACGCGTGCCAGAGACTGACGCAGTCTGCCATTTTGTTAAGAGTAGCATGTTATTCCCTCGTTCTCCTTCCCCCTCCCTTCCTGAGAGGCACAGTGACAGATGTGTGTGTGTACTGTTTATGGGTCACGGGCCGGCCAAGGCATTTCTAGCTAGGTGCCGAACTGTCTGTGAAAGCTGTATCCTTTCTCATCTAGGAAGAGATAGGACCAGCTTTCCCAAGAGAATTGGAGTCTCACTGACCAAAGTACCTGTGTAATTTCACACCTCGTAACAAGATAAAGGAGCCTTCCCAAGAGTTGAAAGGGACTCTGAGCAAATAAACCTAGTTTAGCGTAGGTGACAGAATTAGGTGAACACTTCTCAAATCTTATCTCTTTGCTGTGCTGTTTTCTATATATGTAAATGTATATCTTAGTTAAATCTTCTCTGTAAATATTTTTATTGCACCTATTTGACCCTTTTAGTAATAAATCTCTCTTTCTGAAAGTGTTGAACTGTTTCTATAGCTCTTAATTGCGATTTACAAATCCCTGCCTTTAAAGAGACGCTACTGTTTGTTTTAACCCTCTGTATAACAGGCCTGCATTATGACCGGGTTATGCAGTCGATTATATCAACCATTATAGTGGTATAGCTGAACGCGATTTTCCTCTTTCTCTGATCAAAAAGGAGGTTGGTGGCAGTGTGAAAGGGTTAATTGCGTAATTAACCCGACCCAGTAACAATCGATTCAGGCTGCTGGCACATCGATCGGTATCCATTAGCTGGAAAATCGTTGTGCAGGGTGCAGCTGGGTGTGGCATTGTTATGCACGTCACATCGCGGTTGTAGATCGGTTAGCCCTTCGATCACGAGTTTGCTGAGAAGGTCTGGGGTCTGACGCCGCAATCCTGACAGGAGCCTCTAAACTATAGCTACTGGTCTCCGAACCAGACCCCTGACCATGAACATTTTTCCAAGGCCACAAAAACCACACATGCTCCTTAAAAGATATCGAAAAGACCTGATGGCAGTTTTTCTCTGCATTGAAATGTTGGACCAGGTATCCATTGACTTAAACATTTCGAGGCTGGCGAATAGCCATTTTCCCAGCAGTGCTGACTTGAGTGTATCTACCGTAGGCAATGTATCTCCACAAGAAACCAGACTTTATTTTAGTTACAAAGCTATAGCATGTTAAATTGTGTGAATGGACAGGAAAGTGTTTTCTTCCAATAGCAACTCATATAGAGGCAAATTATACATGCCTGAATAACATAGCTATATCTATAAACTTGGATAACACAGCTAAATAGTTTAATGTTAACTAAATTGGTTCACTTAGAAAAACAAGCCTATTCTAATGATTTACTTCACACATGTAATAAAAAAAACTTGATTAACAATCTCATGAGATGTTTATGTGTAATAAAATGTTCTGCCAGTGCTTAGCCCCACAATGGTTCTTTTGTCTTTTGGCTGGTTCCCATAGGACACAACCTCAAAGCTTAGTAAAATGTTGCATGTTTTTCCTTCTTGATAATGCTTGAGAAACAAGAATATATCGTTGTTTAGTACTGGATAGAAGCCTAGACTTTTAAAATGCTTGAGGAAATATGCCAAGGAACCAAGGAATCTAATGATCTAAAAGTATTTGTTTTCAAGTGTATTTCAACACTAGGCAAATATGTTACAAAAACACCTTTCAATACAGGGAAAAAATATTTCCAAGATTATCAAATATTCTGCCAACCATAGATGACACAAAGTAATAATGCATCTAGAGATGAGCGAATTATTCAAAAATTTGATTCGGCTGATTCGCCGAATTTGCGGGAGAAATTCGATTCGATGCGAATTTATTCGCCGCGAATTTAACTTATTTAAAGGGTTTCTAGGCTTCAGAGAGCCTTTATATTAGTGCAGAACACTGTACCTTTTGGAATTTAAATGCCCTTGGAGTCTGCTGGGAAGAGAAATAATACTGTCAGTCAGTATGACATGCAGATGAGTGCCGTCGATCTTAGAATCACCGCACACTTCACTCATTTGGGCAGTCACGGGGCACGACGAAGAAGAAGAAGAAGAAGAAGAAGAAGAAGAAGAAGAAGAAGAAGAATGAAAAGAAGAAGAAGAAGAATGAAAAGAAGAAGAAGAAGAATGAAAATAAGAATGAAAAGAAGAAGAATGAAAAGAAGAATGAAAAGAAGAAGAAGAAGAATGAAAAGAAGAAGAAGAAGAATGAAAAGAAGAATGAAAAAGAAGAATGAGAAGAATGAAAAGAAGAAGAAGAATGAAAAGAAGAATGAAAAGAAGAAGAAGAATGAAAAGAAGAAGAAGAAGAATGAAAAGAAGAATGAAAAGAAGAATGAGAAGAATGAAAAGAAGAAGAAGAATGAAAAGAAGAATGAGAAGAAGAATGAGAAGAATGAAAAGAAGAATGAGAAGAATGAAAAGAAGAATGAGAAGAATGAAAAGAAGAATGAGAAAAATGAAAAGAAGAATAATGAAAAGAAGCAGAAGAATGAAAAGAAGAAGAAGAAGAAGAAAAAGAATGAAAAGAAGAAGAATGAAAAGAAGAATGAAAAGAAGAAGAAGAATGAAAAGAAGAATGAAAAGAAGAAGAATGAAAAGAAGAATGAACTATATTACTATATCAGTCTCTAATGGATGCTGGAGAGTTAAACCCCCTAACACCTGCTGTGCCCATTATGAGGGGTTCCCACCATCCCTGTGCTGAGGTTCTGGGTATGCACACCTGCTGTGCCCATTATGAGGGGTTCCCACCATCCCTGTATGAGGTTCCAGGTCTGCACACCTGCTGCGCCCATTATGAGAAGTTCCCACCATCCCTGTGCTGAGTTCCTGGGTCTGTACACCTGCTCTGCCCATTAGGAGGAATCCCCACCATCCCTGTGCTAAATTCCTGGGTCTGTACACCTGCTGTTCCCATTATGAGGGGTTTCTACCATCCCTGTGCTGAGGTCCCAGGTCTGCACACCTGCTGCGCCGCCCATTACTAGGGGTTCCCACCATCCCTGTGCTGAGGTTCTGGGTATGCACACCTGCTGTGCCCATTATGAGGGGTTCCCACCATCCCTGTGCTGAAATTCCTGGGTCTGTATGTACACCTGCTGTGTGTCCATTGTGAGGGATTCCCACCATTCCTGCACTGAGTACCTGAGTCTGTACACCTGCCAAAAGAAAGTTTCAGGATTTTTGAAGGAGCAAAATACAGTAGTACTGGAACAAAAATGAGCTGCGTGGTGGAGTTGCCAGAAGAAGAAGAAGAAGAAGAAAAGAAGAAGAAGAAGAATGAAAAGAAGAATGAAAAGAAGAGAGAAGAAGAATGAAAAGAAGAATGAAAAGAAGAAGAAGAAGAATGAAAAGAAGAATGAAAAGAAGAAGAAGAAGAATGAAAAGAAAAGAATGAAAAGAAGAAGAAGAAGAATGAAAAAGAAGAATGAAAAAGAAGAAGAAGAAGAATGAAAAGAAGAATGAAAAGAAGAAGAAGAAGAATGAAAAGAAGAAGAAGAAGAATGAAAAATCCAAGAAGAAGAATGAAAAGAAGAAGAAGAATGAAAAGAAGAATGAAAAGAAGAAGAAGAATGAAAAGAAGAAGAAGAAGAATGAAAAGAAGAATGAAAAAGAAGAATGAAAAGAAGAAGAAGAAGAAGAATGAAAAGAAGAATGAAAAGAAGAATGAAAAGAAGAAGAAGAAGAAGAATGAAAAGAAGAAGAAGAATGAAAAGAAGAAGAAGAAAGAAGAATGAAAAGAAGAAGAAGAAGAAGAATGAAAAAGAAGAAGAAGAAGAAGAATGAAAAGAAGAAGAAGAAGAATGAAAAGAAGAATGAAAAGAAGAAGAAGAAGAATGAAAAGAAGAATGAAAAGAAGAAGAAGAAGAAGAATGAAAAGAAGAAGAAGAAGAAGAATGAAAAGAAGAATGAAAAGAAGAAGAAGAAGAATGAAAAGAAGAAGAAGAAGAATGAAAAGAAGAATGAAAAGAAGAAGAAGAATAATGAAAAGAAGAAGAAGAATGAAAAGAAGAAGAAGAAGAATGAAAAGAAGAAGAAGAAGAATGAAAAGAAGAAGAATGAAAAGAAGAATGAAAAGAAGAAGAAGAAGAATGAAAAAGAAGAAGAAAAATGAAAAGAAGAATGAAAAGAAGAAGAAGAAGAATGAAAAGAAGAAGAAGAATGAAAAGAAGAAGTATTCCAGTACAGCAAAAAGTGTATCTGCAGAGAGCTCCGCTATTTCTGACAGTTCTCTGACAGTTCCTTCACATTTACAGCGGTTGAAACATTGTATCTATTTATTTCCGAATAAAAACATCTGTATCCTAAATGGAAACAAATAGATACAATGTTTCAACCGCTGTAAATGAACTGTCAGAACTGTCAGAAATAGCGGAGCTCTCTGCAGTGACACTTTTGCCGGCTGATCGGGAAAAAATTCGATTTGTGCACCCGAAGTTGGCTAAAATTCGGATTCGATGCGAATCAAATTTTTCCCAATATTCGAAACGAATTCCACTTCGCCTGGGCTGGTTCGATTCGCTCATCTCTAAATGCATCTAAAGCCAAAATGTATTTGTTAGGTTTGAATGGAGTGGAAAAGTGTGGTTTTATTATCTGTAATCTTTTTTATCTTAGTGACCACTGTCACAGGCACAGAAAAAGTGATGGAAAATTCAACATTTTACTGCTGCCAGTGGAACAGGAGGTCAGAGGAAATCTACTGGGGATGGTTTTCTTTGTGACCGTGTATAAGGAAATCTCCCCAGTAGGACACCGAAAAGTGGTCAAGCATTCGTTACCATCCACAAAAAAAGGTTTGACTTTACATATACATTTTAGTTTTAGAGCCCTGAATGCTCAAGCTAGAGATGCACAATTCCTCTCAAGGACAAAACATGAAATAAAGTGCAGGTATTTTGCTTATCTAAGTTTATTGACCTTCAAAAAGTTGTATGGACCTTTTCTAAGAAAATCTTACACATTGAGATTTTTTTAAAGAGGGCCTGAACTCAATAGTTTACTCAAAACGGTGTTCACAGCCTTAGCCTGCATTCCAGTACCATATATCTGATGATTTTGAAGCATTTTTTTTCTGACGTTTTTCAGGCACACTACAGGTGCACAGCAGGCACTTTTGCACATGTATCAATCTTCAGAAGTTTGTGTCCTGGGCTGGGCAAGGGGAGGAGTGCAGTTCTATAGTAGGATAGGAGTTCTTCAAGTGTAAAAAGTGTACTCAAAAATGCACTCATTGGACTATAGGACAAAAAATGCCTGAAAACACTCATCTACTATTTTTAAATGTAGTACATACAGCGTAGGGTGACAAGTGGGAACAGGGACAATTAAAAAGATGAGATTCTGTACAGCCAGGTATAGTCAGGTGTAGACAGGCATAAGGAAATGAGCAGCTTGTTGTAATGGAAAAAAACAAAAGAGTAACAGTCACTCTTACATTTCCTGGAGAAAATGCTGCACCAGGCTCCTTTCAGTGCTGATTGAAGGCCTAGGATCAGCCATTGTGAACACTGATGTGACTAGCCCTTCAGAATTGTGTCAAATCTGAAAGAAAAAACCCGTAGCAGCATTTTTCTCCAGAAAGGTAAGTCTTTCAGTCCCTCTATTAAACCTATTAATAATTCTGATAAATAAATACATTCTAATAAATTCTATTCATTTATCCATCTCTGCAAAGCAACACTTAAGTTAACAGATTATTGTTAACATTTAAGGACATCACATCTACAACCTGGGCAAATGAGAAGCACATTGTTTACCTAGTACAGGTAACGAAACGTTGTGTATGTTACATTGTCTAGTGACTCAATATAGGATGTACTGAAAGCTTGCTGCTCTTTCCATGCCTTGAGACTCTACTGTACTTTTAACTAGACTTTTAACATACCTTGACAATATGGATAATCATCCAACTCAGACGAGCACCTGTCACATTTCAGTCCTATTACCCCTGGTCGACATTCACATTGCCCAGTCACAGGGTTACATGTACTCTGAAATGAGCCTGGAGCTGAACATTGGCAAGCTAAACAAAACACCAATCAGCGATTAGTAAGCCTATTCTCAATACAGAATTCTACAAAATCCTCTACCATTTTACAAATTTACTTTTACAATCACCCCTTTAGAGCTTACCTAGACAAAAAGTTTGAAATACTGAAAAAAAATAATTTCACCAGAATGAAAATATACCATATATTAAAAACAAAACAAAACACAGGATTATTGGCTGCAGAGCAAGGTTTAGTGAACACATGTAACAGTTATGTTTTATACTTACGCAGGCATGAGGGTAGCTGTAGAAATTAGGTGCACATTCATTACATGTTTGCCCAGCATAGTTAGGGCGACAGAGACATTCACCCCGAGAACCACATGATGGGTTAGAAGCACCAAACATATCACAATCGCATTCTAGAGTGAGAAAAAGGCATCAAGATTTCCAGTTTATTTATTGACAAAGTTTTTACTTTCCAGTGAGAGACAGAATACATTCAGATATATTAGCTTTAATTTGCTAAAGAAATAGAGAATGTTTGATTAGCGCAATGAATAGGTGAACTTGTCCATCCATTTACTTGTCAATACTGCAGTGTAAGAAATTAAAATTTTCTGGCAAGTAAAACATTTGTCCGTGAACACGGACATAGACTTTTACAGGCTGCCTGAACCGGGGCTGGACCTGTCCCTTCCAAGTGAACCAAAAACCTTCAGCTCAATGGCCAATGTACAATGAGCCTTAAAGCCTAATGCAGGCCATACATGGGTTGAATTTTTAAATCATTTTTTGAAAATCGTAACTAAGAATTTCCATTCGAATTTAGCACCATTAGTGGGCATCAACCGATTGATGGCCTGCACTACAGATGTTCCTGCTGGGCTTGCTGTATAAACTGTACGTAGCATCTGCTACATATAGTACGCAGCACTGTGTTCTGGCAGCCTTGGGCAAATAAACAGCCAATAAGTTGACATGTACAGTCCAAGTACAGCAAATTAATCAATGTATCTACGAAATAAGCACACAAAACTTGGCCCAAACAATCTATTTAAAGGCATAGTAATCAGGGAGTTAGGATTAAAAGTGTATGTTCAAGCATAACCCAGATTATTGCCCAAATCTCTTTATCCCCTTCTAGAGCATGTCCCAGCATTATTTTGTATAACCAGGCCTGTAAAATTCTTTGAGGGGCAGCTCCTGAGAGGTCAGATCCTACTGACGTAGGCATGACCCTGGAACGATATTCATAAACAGTAGGGTTTATTTACTAAAACTGGCACACTCAGAATCTGGTGCAGTTGTGCATGGCAGCCAATCAGCCTCTAATTTCAGTTTGCTCAATTAAGCTTTGGAAATAAAATCTGGAAGCCAATTGGTTTCTATATAGAGCTGCACCAGATTTTGCACTCTCCAGTTTTAGTAAATAACCCCCAATATGTGGGTAGGCTTTTCGAAGTGATAAATGCAGCATTGTTTTCCTGGGAAAGAAATCTATATTTTAGGCCTCATGCATCTGCTGCTCCTAAACGTGAGTTTAGAAGCTTTTGCATTTTTTTGCGAAAGCCCCTGAACTCAACTCAATAAAAGCCTACCCATATGGAAGAAAAATATATTTGAAATATATTTTAAAAATACTCTTCCCAAATATATTGACATATATTTGAAATGCTACCATTTTGGCCATATTCAATAAATATCAAAATATATATATATATATATATATATATATATATATACACTGAATGTTGAAATGCATTTTTTATATATTACAAAATATATGAGGAATATTTTTAAAAATATTTTTCAAATATATTCTTCAGATTTTTTTTTAACGTATAAAAAAGTCATTTTAATATATATTTTTGCATGTATTTGTAAATGCATTCCAAAAATGTAGATCTGTATTTTTAAAGACATACAGTATATTTGAAATGTATTTTAAAAAAGATTTTTCATATATTTTGTAATAAAAACGCATTTCAACATTCAGGGTATATATATTATATATATATATATTATATTATTTATTTATTGAAATATATATTTTTTAAATATATTGAATACGGCCAAAATTGTAGCAATTCATAATGTCTGTAAGGGACCGCCCGGCGGTACCACTAGCACTCCACTGAATAGACGCCCCCAGCGCACGGAATCTAAGTCCCAGAGTGCTTGTTCACCAGGGCCCCTGATGGTGGGGATGGACTTGGAGCACCCCGAGACCAGGTCGTGGCTACTGGGTACGTCCGTCAGTGGTAGTGGTATGCGCCGAGGGCTCCCACGGGAAAGAGTCTGATATGAGGAGGTCAGAATACCCCACTGCGAGGGATGGATGGATGAGCAAGGTCAGACAGGCCCGGGTCGGTAACAGAGAGGACGGTAAGGTACAAGGCAGCGGGCAGAGAATAGTCGGGTCACACGCCAGGTCAGCAACAGCAGGTCAAATCCAATAGGGGGCATCCAGGAGAGAGGTCAGGCAAAGCAAGGGTCAGGACAGGAGAATATAGCAAGGTCAGGTACAATCCGGGTCAAAAACTTACAGGGCACAGGTTCACAGAATACAGGATGCAGGTAAGACCAGAAGGCACAGAATGACAGCTCAGGGCCATTTAAATATCCTGCCCTGCGCTGCCATTGGTGCCCAGCGGGCGGCCGCGGCTTCTACTGTGCATGGGCGAACTCGAACACCGCGGCCGGCCCGGACCTAGTGCCCGTGTCCCTGCACAGGGCGGCGCACTGCGCCTGCGCCGGGACCATCGCTGCGGGGATCGTGGAGATCCCTGACATTGCCCTCCCCCTACGGGCAACCTCCGGATGCCCACCCGATCTCTCCACCACGGGTGATCGCGGAAAAAACCTCCGGACGAGTCTGGGTGCATGGACATTATGGGCCAGTTCCCAAGAATTGTCCTCAGGGCCATAGCCCTTCCATTTGATTAGGAATTGGGTCTGGCCCCCCCTCCTTCGGCACTTCAGGATTGTTTCTACCTCAAATTCTTCTTCTCCTTCGACTGTTATGGCCTCCGGAGGTCTAGATTCTCGTTCAGGGAAGGCATCTGGGATCACTGGCTTCAGCAGGGACACATGGAAGACTGGGTGGATCTTGAGTGTGTCAGGGAGGACAAGTTCGTAAGCCACCTCGTTGACCATCCGCTTAACGCAAAAGGGGCCTATAAATTTAGGTCCCAATTTCTTTGAAGGGCAAAGCATCTTTAAATTGGATGGCGCTAACCAAACCTTCTCCCCAGGCCGCAACACCAGATTTCCCCTCCGTTTCCTGTTGAATGCCTTCTTGTAGTCTTCTTGGGCCCGACTGATGGCCTCTTGACGTTTCTTGTTGTTTGCGGAGAAAAATGTTACTACATCTTGTGTTGCTGGAACTGGGCATTCCGAGACCAAATCCGGGAGGAAGACGGGGTGAAAACCCATAATTGGCAAAGAACGGGGACTGCCCCGTTGCTGAATGGCAAGCGTTGTTGTACGCGAATTCCGCCAGGGGTAGAAGTGGCATCCAGTCATCTTGCGTAAAAGATGTGTAGCATCGCAAGTATTGCTCCAGGGTCTGGTTGGTCCTTTCGGTCTGTCCGTTAGTCTGTAGGTGGAACGCAGAGGAAAGGGACAATTTGATGTCCAGGGCTTTGCATAGTGCTCTCCAAAATCTTGACGTAAACTGGACCCCTCGGTCCGAGACAATGTCTTCGGGGACCCCATGCAGTCTTACAACCTCACGAATGAATACTCGCGCAGTCTCGGCTGCCGAGGGAGTTTTCTTCAATGGAATGAAGTGGGCCATTTTTGATGAGCGGTCCACGACCACAAGGATTGCCATGTGGTCTAGCGATGGCGGGAGCTCGACTATAAAATCTAGCGAGATTCTTTGCCAAGGTCGTTCAGGAATCGGAAAAGGCCGCAGCAGACCCCAAACTTTGCTCCTTGATGGCTTGTTCTTCTGGCAGGTGATACAGGATCTTACATAGCCCTTACAATCTTTAGCCATGTCCGGCCACCAGAAGGAGCGTCGGAGAAGCTCCAGGGTCTTTTCTGGGCCAAAGTGCCCTGCCATCGGGTGGTCATGGCAATGTCCCAAGACCAGGGTTTGGGCTTCCTCCGGCACCACAATCCGATCTTCCCTCCATAGGAGTCCCCCCTTGTTCTGGAGGGGCCCTCCGACTGGGGTTGATATGGTTGTGGACGCCTCCATTATCTTGGAACGAAGGTCCGACTGGAGTGCCAAGAAGTTACCCAAGGACAGGATAGTGTCGGGCACTGAGATCTACTTGGCGTCCTCGTACATACGTGATAACGCATCTGGCTTTGTGTTCCTTGATCCAGGCCTGTACGTGATGTGGAAATTAAATCTCGAAAAGAATAATGCCCATCTCGCCTGTCGTGGGCGTAAACGCTTGGCGGTCCTCAGGTATTCCAGATTTTTGTGATCTGTAAATATCAAGATGGGGTGCATGGCGCCCTTCCAGCAGGTACCTCCATTCCTCTAACGCCGTTTTGATCGCCAGTAGTTCTCGATCACCGATATCGTAGTTTTTCTCTGCGGGGGTAAGCTTTCGTGAGAAAAATGCTACAGGATGGAGCAATTCCTTGGTGCCCTTCCGCTGGGAAAGAATGGAACCTACTGCATTCTCCGATGCATCTACCTCTAAGATGTAAGGTAGGGCGGCATCTGGGTGACCCAAAATGGGTGCCGAGGTGAACAGCTTCTTCAAGGCTTCAAAAGCTTCCTGAGCCTCTGGTGTCCATCTGAACCGAGTTCCAAGCTAGGTTAGCTGAGTAATGGGGGAGACCAGACCCGAGAAGTTCTTGATGAACTTCTGGTAAAAGTTTGCAAACCCGATAAATCGTTGGACACCTTTCCTGTCCGTGGGTTCAGGCCAATCCAGAATTGCAGCGACCTTCTGAGGGTCCATCGCGACCCCCGCGGTGGAGATAATCAGGCCCAGAAAAGTAATGCTGGATTGTTCGAAGCAACATTTATCTGCCTTGGCGTACAACCCATGCTGCCGCAATTGCCCCAATACCCTTGCTACATGTATTGTGTGCTCCCCCAAGGAAGGGGAGAAAATCAAAATGTCGTCTAAGTAGACGATAACAAAGATATCCAGGAAGTCCCTAAAGATATCATTCACAAAGTGTTGAAAAGTGGCCGGAGCATTGCACAACCCGAACGGCATGACCAAATATTCAAAGTGCCCGAAGCGGGTGCGGAATGCCTTCTTCCACTCGTCCCCCTCCCTTATGCGTACCAAGTTGTATGCTCCCCTCAAATCCAGCTTTGTGAAAACCACTGCCGCTTTTAAACTTTGGAATAACTCCGGTACCAATGGCAGTGGGTAATGGTTCTTTATTGTGACCCTGTTCAACTCCCGGTAATCGATACACGGCCTTAAGGTTTTGTCTTTTTTTTCTACAAAGAAGATTCCCGCCCCTGCCGGAGAAGTGGAGGGGCGGATGAACCCCTTCTGGAGGCTGTCCTCAATGTATTCCTTCAGGGCCCCCAATTCGAGCTCTGAAAGGGGGAAGATTCGCCCAAAAGGAATCTCTGAGCCGGGTAACAGGTCAACGGGACAGTCATACGGGCGGTGGGGGGGTAGAGTATCGGCTCCCCGTTTACTGAACACATCCAGAAACTCATGGTAGGCTGCAGGGATCACCTGTTTTAAATCGGCATCCCCCTCAGAGCACAGGAGGAACTGGGGGGCCTCGGGGCCCGAAGTGCGGCAGTGTTCCCGACAGTATGGGGAAGGGAACAAGATTACTCCGGTCTCCCAGTCAATTTGGGGGATATGGGCCCGTAACCATGGGAGCCCCAAAATGACTGGGAAAAGGGGTGATGCTATAGCATCCAGGCAGAGGAGTTCCTGGTGCTGGCCGGCAATGGCAGTGGCAATGGAGGGGGTTTCCTGGTTAACTACCCCCGATTTTATCCGGGAACCGTCAGCCAAAAATATATTGAACCCTTTTTCTTTAAATTGGAGGGGAATACCCTGCTGGTGAGCAAAATTAATGTCCAAGAAGCAGCTGCATGCCCCCGAATCAACTATGGCCGTCACCTCCACGGTCCTTTCTGGAAGCTGAAAGGAAAGGGGCACCACTAAGTATTGGGATGGACTAACATTGCCAATAGACAAGGAAGAAGAGGTGCACTTACTCAGTTTCTGCGGACAGGATCGTACCATGTGACCAGCTTCACCACAGTAGAGGCACAGGTTCTGGGATCGTCTGCGCTGGTGTTCCACTGGAGATAATTTAGCTGCATGGGTTCAGGAATATCTCCAGGTGGCCGGTTCTGGATGTTTGGCCTAGTTGCTTGGCTGGGACCTTGAAATTACCCACAGGGAGTTCCATGACCCTGACCGGACCTCTCAAACCTGCGTTCCCGCAGTCTACGGTCAATCTTAATGGTCAGCGCAATTAAGTCCTCTAATGTCTCAGGCACCTCTACCCGGGCGAGTTCATCTTTCAGGGCTTCTGATACGGGCCTATACGGAACTGATGCAAAAGTGCAAACTCGTTCCAGCGTGTGTCCCCCATCCAACGCCTAAACTCAGATGCGTATTCCTCCGCCACTCGACGGCCTTGCCGGAGCGTGTACAAAGTAGCTTCAGCAGAGGCTGCCCGCTGTGGGTCATCATATAGGATAGCCATTGCGTCAAAAAAATTGTCAACCGAACTTAGGTGAGGGTCATTTTTTCCCCGCAGTCGGTGAGCCCAGTCTTGGGGCTCACCCTGCAGGAGGGAGATGACGAATCCCACCTTCACGGATTCAGTCACAAAGGTCCATGGTTGTAATTCAAAATAAAGAAGGCAGGACTCACGGAACGACCTGAAGCGTGTGCGGTCCCCGTGGAAGCGTTCTGGTAAGGGTACCCGGGGTTCGGCCGCAGGGAGTGGTGCGGAAGCCCCAGAAGCTGGCACAGGGGCCGCTACGGCTGGGGGTGCAGGGACAGATATAGTGCAGGTCTGGAACTGATTCTCAATCTGTAGACATCTGTCCTGCAGGGTCGATATGGCCTGTGTCAAATTAGATAGGTGCCTGCAGATTTCCTCAAGCGGAGAGGGCCCTCCTCTAGACTCAGTCATGGCCTTCTGGTACTGTAAGGGACCGCCCGGCGGTACCACTAGCACTCCACTGAATAGATGCCCCCAGCGCACGGAATCTAAGTCCCAGAGTGCTTGTTCACCAGGGCCCCTGATGGTGGGGATGGACTTGGAGCACCCCGAGACCAGGTCGTGGCTACTGGGTACGTCCGTCAGTGGTAGTGGTATGCGCCGAGGGCTCCCACGGGAAAGAGTCTGATATGAGGAGGTCAGAAGACCCCACTGCGAGGGATGGATGGATGAGCAAGGTCAGACAGGCCGGGTCAGTAACAGAGAGGACGGTAAGGTACAAGGCAGCGGGCAGAGAATAGTCGGGTCACACGCCAGGTCAGCAACAGCAGGTCAAATCCAATAGGGGGCATCCAGGAGAGAGGTCAGGCAAAGCAAGGATCAGGACAGGAGAATATAGCAAGGTCAGGTACAATCCGGGTCAAAAACTTACAGGGCACAGGTTCACAGGATACAGGATGCAGGTAAGACCAGAAGGCACTGAATGACAGCTCAGGGCCATTTAAATATCCCGCCCTGCCAATATATGTCAATATATTTGGGAAGAATATTTTTAAATTATATTTCAAATATATTTTTCTTCCGTGTGGGTATGCACACATAGCCTTTTATCAGAGTTTAACAGCAACAGCAAAGTTTAGGGGTAGTTAAAAGCTTTGTCTAAAAAATGATAAACGCAGTACAATATGCGTGTAAATGCACTTAAGCACTAACCACATTTAGTGCTTGGGCGTTGATTTATTTCAATGACAAGTACTTCAGCCAATGAAATAAATAAACGTACAAGTGCTAATAGCGGTACAGCTTTTACACGCGTTTAGCGTTTTTTTGCTGCCAGTACAAAAATGTTCCAGTGTACATGGAGCCTTATGTGGAGAAGGGCAGCAAAGGGTTGGAGACAGGTGGTGTTCTGTAGTCCAGCAGGCAGGGTTGACAATGCTACTTGGGATTTCAGTTAAGAAAAGGCACTGTGACATCAGTTCCAATTGTAAGTAAGAAACACACTGAATATATGGCCATACAATAGTTTTTTTTTTTTTTGCAGCAAAGGAATAAAACATAGACAAAAGTATAATTACTGCAGAGATGTCATGATTATCCTTCTTTTATTTTGGCATGGCATACACTTTAAGTGGAATTAGCTGCTTTTCTGTGTCCATAGCACTAATCTCATACCCCACCACTGTATTCATCTGTTGGATGATTTGGCCACTGAGTGAATAGTCAAAAGGCTGACCTGTACAGTCCAAGTACAGCAAATGAATGAATGCGTCTACGGGAGAAACACACAAAACTTACCAAAACAGCTAGGAAAGGAATGGTAGCCTTGGCGACACTGGTCACAACGGTCCCCCTCCACTCCATACCTGCACAGGCACTTCCCAGCAGGGTTGCATACCTCGGGGAGCACTCCACTGGGATTGCAATCACATCCTACACAATTCAAGGAAATGACTTTTATACACAACACAGAGCAGTGTGAAGAAATTAATTACTGTGCATGGCAAAGGAAGGAAATTAAGCACAATATAAGTACAATATAAACAATAAGTACATTCCAAAATAATACTACAAAGGTTTTTTTTGGTATTTAAATAGAGCTGTAAAACTGCATTGGAATGTGAATAATATTGAAGCAATTGTAACCTCAAACTCAAATGTGTAAAACCATGAAATAGGATTTTAGGCTGATGTCAATGAGGAGAGCTAATTTACTACAACAAGCAGAGGAGTTTTTCAAATGTTCCATTTGGTAGAAATCTCTTTCAGATTCCCTATGACATAGAATTTGAAATGTAAAACTTTAAAATGTTTAAAATATTTAAAAAAGATGCTTCCAAATGCTATGGCATGGAAATTGTTTTCTGTTCAAGGACACCTCTACTCATCAAATAAAGGATCTGCCTTTTCTGGCCCCTTTCTGAAAATGTGAATGCCTGACTTTCTCTGACCTCAGATTTTTTTTTTTTAACAAGCATGAAACAAGAGTGCAGCTTAAAACTCCATTTACAGGTCTGTGACTCAGAAAGCACTGAGAGCAATATGACAGCTAAAGAACCAGTATTTTCAAAAGAAATGGCCACCAATCACAGTTGTTTATACTGTGGGGTTTATTTACTAAAGCTGGTTCACTCTGAATCTTGTGCACTTCTGCATGGAAGCCAATCAGCTTCCAGGTTTTATTGCTAAAGCTTAATTAAACAATCTGAAGCTAGAAGCAGATTGGCTACCATGTGCAGCTGCACCAGATTCTGAATGAACCAGCTTTAGTAAATCCCCCCCCCGTATATGCTCAGTTCAAGCTTAATTTCATAATAAACATTTAGGGGAATTTATGAAAACTGGAGCATCCAGAATCTGAGGCAGTTGAGCACTACAACCAGTCAACTTCTAGCTTCATTTTCAAAGCTTACATTAACAAGTTGAAGATAGTAGCTGATTGGTTGCCATGTACAACTGCTCCAGATTTTCTCTGCTCCAGATTGATAAATTCCCCACACTGAATGCAAATTCCAGAAGTGCAAAGTTGCTCATCTTGCTGGACTAAATGTGGGGTGCAAAAATTTGCACTTGGGAATTTGAGAACAACATTGTGCATGAAAATGATGGTGGCCCTGGCCCTATTTCAGGTGATACCCCCCACAACAACCCTCTTGGGGGTCCATTTCTTGTAGCTTCTGCTACGTTCATTTCATTTACATTTTCCAGTAACATAGTCCCATCAAGACCGATGCTATGTGGATCCAAAGAGGGCAAATAAGTGTTTTTGTAACAAGTGCGTCTATTCAGTGTTTTAGTCTAAAGATATAACATTTGACTTTTCCCTGCAGATGATGCAATTTCCTCAATCTCCACATAAATGAAACATGAGCACATGAAGAAAGCATTAAAGATAATGTTTACTTTGTGTGATCAATGCTTCCTTAAATGGCCCTGCCTAAGTCAATTTGCCAACATTTCAAAGAATTCTAGTAGTTATATATTTACCAGTAATTAATTTACACATTATGAATCATGCTTGTATGTTCTCTGTAAACAAATCCTTACAGTGACCTTACTGGATGTCCCACTTTCCCTATTTAAAATGTCTGTATATTTCTTGGGGCACATTCACACAAAGTGGATTGGGACTATACGGCAATCGTACGAGACAAGGAAAATGCCTTGTTCCCCATAGTGTCAGTTCACACAGCCCCATTGTGAGGGCTGTGTGCTGAAAAAAGTATGGCATGCAGTATTTTTTTTCAGCGCAGCATAGTGTGACGCAATTAACTATACTGTAATGGAACCAGACCCCGACTGCACTTGAGTATTTCTGTTAGACTACCACTTCCCTGTACAAAAAACCATCCACGGACCCCACCGCTGGCCATACAAGACTAGACGAGACCAGTCTTGAAATAAATCAGGAAATAGACTACTTTATTTTAACATAGACACAAGATATATACATTCAAGGGAACAACCCCCCTCCCTGCATAAGGACACAGGGCGGGGCAAACCACATCTAGCAACAAGAGACACATCAGCAGACACCCCCCATCAAGCCAATACACAAACACATACTTCCCATAATAGTTTGCTCCCAAGCACGACACACAAAACAACAATGGGATACAACCACATGGCATTAAACAATGAACAACCCCCCAAATCAATATTAGAACATTTCACCCTGTACCCCTAACAGGCACAGGGTGACTTACACATAATAGGGATATGGGGAGCTGAGACAGGGGTCTCCCCACCTCTCCAAAGTGAGCTGTGTTCCATGGGCCCCCCCCACCCAGAGTGACTCCCATCACATATACCACACTGCAGGGGTGTGGCCATACTGGGCATGTGAGCAGACCTGCATCACAGAGCTCTCTCTCTTCACCCTGTCACTGATCCCCTCCTGGGCCATCCACCTGGATCTGGGAAAAACAGCGGTATCACCCACCACCTTTTTCCTGGAGCCATGACCAATAAAAACAAGGAGGAAGTAGTGGCGGCAGAGACACAAAATGGCACAGCTGCAGCTCTCCCTCAGAGAACTCCACAAGGCACAGGCAAGTCCCAAGACACAGGCAACAAGGCAGGTAGGCCCTCTTACCCAGCAGAGAAAGATAATCCAGGGGTCATTCTGTACTACACGAGAAAACTATCTGAGGTGCAGGAACAGGGCTCCACAGAGGTGGCAGCTGACACTACAGGCTCCAGCAAGATCCTATGCAGGAGCAAGTACCCGAGGCAGACGCCATATCTCTCCAAGACAATAAGCATGCTACTGGCCCAGAAGAGTTAGCTGAGGGAGAAGAGCAGCCTAAATTCAGTCAGATCTTACGACAGTGATTAAATGCACAGTCTCTGTGAATTTGGTGAAGGATAGACTGGAAGGGGAAGAAGTCTCACTTTTGCAGCAGGACTTGCAAAAAAATCAAAGAGAAGACCATTGCATCTGAAAGCTGCATCAGCGACCTGGAAGACAAGCTTCCTTCCTTGATAGCTCAATCACGTTCTACTGATTGCCTAGCCCGTGACAACAGGGATAAACCTGATGATATTGAAAATAGGCTATGATGAAACAACATACGCATTATGGGACTACCAGAAAGGGTGGAGGGAAGGGACCCCACCAAGTTTATATAAAATTAGCTCTTGGAGATCTTTGGTGAAGATGCCTTTACTCCACTGTTTGTGGTTGAAAGAGCCCACTGCACATCTACTAGAGCCTTGCCTGGAAATTGGCCCAGACCACTTTTAGCCTGCCTTCTGAACTATTACGTCAGGGACGAGTGTTACGCCTGGTGAGAGACAGACCTACCAATCAACATAATGGGGTGAAGGTTTCCTTTTACCCAAATTTCTCTCCTGAGGTGCAATATAAAAGAGCAAAATTATTTGATGTTTAACAACGGCTGCAATGTCTGAGACTGCTTTATACTATGCTTTACCCTGCATGGCTCCTTGTTACAGCGTTGGGCCATGTACATTTTTTCAACACTGCTGGGGAAGCGGTGGAGTGGCTGGACATCCATAAGCCCTCTTTGAGGGCATGACAACCAGAGGAGGTTGATACCTGAATACCAGTTCCTTTATCTGCATTACAGTTTATCAAGTAATACCTGGTTACCCTGGCCAGGGACGATTATTTTTTTTTTCATACCAGTTTGCTCCTGATTACCACTTTAAGAATGTGTTTTTTGTAAGCTCTACTTACAATGTTTTTAACAACATGGTGATTGCAGTGGGAGGCCTTAAAGTGGGCCTTTCCCTGCGACAAAGCGGAGATGGGTCTGGTGGCTCTCTGCTTTTTCTCACAGCTATATGGCACCATTGTGCTTTCTTTGTCTAGTTCTGGTTTTCTGTTTTGATTTTGACTTCAGGAGACGTCCTGAAGATAGTGCTTCAAGAATTTGTTCATGGGAGTTGCATACAAGCCTTCCGGATTTCTATACAAGATTCCTAACTAAATCCTGGCTGGGGTCATATCGGTGGATACACCGATAGTATCATGGAGCATTAGAGGCCTGAGTAACCCTGTGAAAAGAGCTCTGGTCAACACTGTTTTACATAAATACCATCCAGTAATTATTGTGCTTCAGAAAACCCACCCCAACAAAGCAGACTTTGTATAGTCTTTGATATTTTTGGGTATGGCATATGTATTACTCTACGCATACCTTCTATTACAATGAGGTCTTGATACTTATTCACAAATTACTGGACTTCCACGAACTTCAGTTTGTTGTTGACACATATGGTAGATATATATTTGTATACTATAGAATGTATGCACTTACATGTATATTAGCAGTAGCATATGTGCCTCCTCCACTCTCCACTGTAATGCTGAAGGAACTAGTATCTTTTATGCTGGATAAACCAGATATCCCACTGTTTGTTGTGGGTGTTTTTTTTGAACCCTGCAATGCACAAACATGCCCCGACTCTCCTGGGTTCCTCTTTCAGAGGTACGGCCCTGTCTCACTTTATGGCAGAAATGGGTTGGTTTGATATATGGAGAATGAAAAACCCTGACACCCGTCTGTTTTCTTGCTTCTCCAAACACATGGGTCACTGGCCTGCATAGACCTTTGCATGGGAATGTCTCAGGCGGTTCCCCTGGTAACTCGCATTCAGTATGACCTGAGAGGGGTATCAACCCATTCCCCCCTAATATTTTGGCTTTCGGCTAAACATTAAATTATACCACACTGCGGCCAATATAACTTCATGAAAATCTGCAATTTAAGAATCTTGAATCATGGGTTTAGATACATTTTACTAGATCTTCTAAAGAACTGTAAGTGCCCGTTCACACTAGCAGGTGTGTTGGAACACAGTCACTAGTGTGTGGTGTAAAGACAGATCAAAAGGTATTGTTTTGTATTTATTGAACAGATAGAAGATACACTTTCAGTGGTATAGTTTAACAGACTAACGGTCCATGCACACTAGCGTTTTTTTTTTTGAAGCTCAAGAAATGCTGAATAAAAAAAAAGTTTTTCAGTAGCATTTTAGTAGCGTTTAGAAGGGTTTAGGAGCGTTTTGGAATGTTTAGTGTTTTTATTAGCGTTTTTATAGTACACGTAGAAAAAACAAGGAGAGGTCTAAAAGGTCCTAACTGAGTCTGTGGCAAAAGCCAGAGCTACCTAAAAGCAACTATCTGTCTGGACCTGCAGTGTTCACATTAGCCTACAACTAAGAGTTGTAGTTCTATGTTCTACAACTAACCTGTGGCAGAGGTAAAAAAATACTAAAAGTAAATACCTAGTAGAGGCAAAAGTTTTGCTGTTATTTTGGTTTTCCTGTAGCCCTAACCCCAGTGTACACCCCCAGCTCATCCACACATGTTCTTAGGCAGCTGTATTATTGATACAGAAACTTACTTTGGCAGAACGGATAATGAAAGAAACCAGCAGCACACCGATTGCAGGATGTACCCTGAAAACCAACACGGCAAGGACACTGTCCAGTCACTCTATCACAGTTATGGTTTAATGCTCCAGCACCTGTACAATTGCACCCTGAACAAGAAATAATGTGTATTAGAATTTTGAAATCCATTTGCAAATAGTGTGTTAAAGGTTTCTTTCCTGACATTATGATTATTAGTAGTTTCATAATGCGTTCCATGTGTCGCTAGTCCCTATCCACCAATTGTAGGTGTGCATTGAGTGACCTGGGACCTAGCTCAAAACTGCTGGTGTACCTGTGAGTATACATGTAGTAAGTGCAGCACAAAGAGCAATAGTTACAGTATGTAAGACTCCATAGAGCCAAAGCTGTCACACTACAACAAGCAATAAGGGGATCAGCAGATGCAACTTTTCCCCTGGCACATGGGAATGGGTGGGTCAAATCTGCCACCCTATAGAACCACTGAAAGTATATGGTGAACATTCAACGTTATTTCTACTATTATTAGTCTTGGTGAATCATTCCTTGCACAGATACTTGTCTACAAAACCAGAATTGCATGGTTGTGGACCAAAAGATGACTGCAATACTTGATTGACTGGGTATGTTGGGTTGGTTTTTGTTGACATTACTGTGAATTCAAAATAAAGTATGCTTCTAACAACCTTAGTTTATTTAATGCTTTCAATGCTTTTTAATGAACTCTTGCTGTCCTTTGAGAGTTGGACGGATATCATTAAGGGTCCAGACAGCTCAAATATTCTTCTATGTTCTTAATTCAGACTAAGGCACTTTGCATACCAAATTAACTAATTTATAGCATTGCTATTTTCCCTTTTAATTGGCTAAAAAAGATCAGCAGGAAGCATGCAATTCTAAAAGGATGATGAAAGTTCCCTATTTCCCTCTCCTCCCATCAGCACATATTCTCTCACCCTCCTTTGCATGGTTGTCAACTTTGAACAAGTGGCTGTCCCTGTGCAGCCATTGCATCCCCATAGACCTGAGCAGGCCACCTACACGCAGCATCTTGCGGCTCAAACTGCATAACCACGTGGCCCATTTAAGGCCTACGGGTGTAGGTGCCCATGTGAATTAGGCTTATTCAGCCTTTGTATGCTCTTCAATTCTATCTTCCACTATTACACATTTTCCGCATTATTTATATGAAAAAGTGACTTGAAAACTACAACTAAATTTCATTATAACTTGCCTTTTATGTTGCCAGCAGTTGGCTTTACAGGAAACGATGTAGTAGGTACAGGATAGAATGGGATTCCTACAAAATAAACAAGAGATTATGATTTGAGAGTGTAATGATTTGGTCAGTGACAATAATTTAAGATAAGCAAGAAATTACCAACAAAAGTGAATTTGTATAAGTGACATGTATAAAAGTGTATTTGCCATCCATACAAAGTGGACATACATATTTTGTGGACTGAATATGCAGTATGGCAGTACTGTGGTCGGCATGCTGCTGCTTGGGCCTACAAAGGGACTCTTTTAGAGACTTACAGTGAATGTTGTTAGACATGCATTTCTTTTACATTTTTTGTTGCTATTCTGTCTCTCAGTGTTAGAATACACCTACCATTCCATTTTTAGACTGATCACTTCTTTGTGAGTGGGCAAATATTCAAAATCAGCAGGGGATCAAATACTTATTTCCTTCACTGTATAAGCACCATTGATTAGGGAGCTTATTGAGGCATACACTTCAGGGACTTCAGTAAACTTTATTTCTGAAGGAAGCAGACTGGTTTGACTCTTAAGTGCTTTGTGGTGCACTTACTTGAGTTCTCACAGCACAGCGTCACAATGAAAAAAGTAGGGCACGTTCTACTTTTTTTAAGAACAAAACAGCACGCATTTTAATGCAACAAGCATGATTGGCTTTCAGTCCTGCCCCTCCCCTTAGCAATCTAGGTGCTAGTGATAATGGACTGCAAGAAGCTGACACCAATTAAATTCAGGTATTCATCTTCTGTGCCAATTTCTTTACTTCATTGAATGTTGTGTCTCTTGTATGAGAAGGAATGCATAGTGTCAAACTGTGTACCAAAGGAAACATGGCTTCAGAAAGCCCTATGATTACTAATAGATGGACAATAAAGGACTAATTAAAAGAAAGCTGTTCTGACAAAATATGATGGACTTCCATTAAAAATGCTTTTGGTCTCACTGTCATGAGGATGCTGCTTAAATAGGAAATAAGTCCACAATACTCCTCTGCTTCAATGGTCGGAGGCTCCTCACCAGTGCCAGAATCATCACCTGTTTTCTTTCAGGTGCACAGTGGCAAATATACTCATTTTGAAATATATTAAATACTGCCAAAATTGTAGCATTTTAAATATATGTAAATATATTTGGGGAGAATATTTTTAAAATATATTTCAAATATATTTTTCTTCCATATGGGAAGACAGCCCTGCGTCATTCCTGCGCATGTTCTGGAGTTTAGTCATCCCAGCACACAAGATCTGTGCCAGAATGTAAACTGATGCATGATCAGCTCAGTGTACATTTTAAAGAGGAAGGAGAGCAGATAAGTAGGTTTATTTTAATGCAATGGTGAGATTGTGTGTTTGAATGTATGCATGCATGTATTAGGCCTGGCAGGTAGTATTATAATAAATACGTTGGAAAGCCTGTATTACTCAGATTAATACCTTTTACATATGTTTAGTTTGTATTCCATGAATTCTCAGCTTTCTTGAAGTGTTTTCATCTTTTGAGCGTACCCACAACAAGGGATTTTATTTCCTGTTATAATCTCCATAATTAGCTTCTCAGTCAAATGCATGAGCCATGATAGTCTGAAGAATTGACTTTGTAGCATCTAAAAATGCTTGTGACAACCCACTCACTATGTTTGCTTATCTTGTTGGTTATGCTTTTCTCCTGATAAGGGATCTTAACCAACTAAATAAACATACTTTTGTATTTCAATGATTTTTATTACCTTTTTTAGAACAATTTAACAAGAAAAACTAGAGCAAAAGACACGCCCACGCAGGGGCTATCAGTGGCACATAAAAAATAAAGAGAACAGTGCTGTAACACCAACAATGTAAAAGGTGCACACATAGGGGCCATTAAAGGCACATAGAATACATAAACAATGATATAATACCAACAATATACCAGCCAAAGGCAAGTATCTACTGCCTCATAGTCAAACTGTTAAATAAACATACTTTTAAGCTTGAAAGGGTATTTGTACTGCCTTCTTACAGAATGATGACTCACAGATTCTAATCCAACACCATATTAATGCAATCATTGCAAATGTTTGCTAGAAATATGTAACGGTATAGGCAGTGCACAAATGGTTAATTCAGAGTTTTCGGTTGTGGTCTCACCCCTTTTAGCACTTGATGAGTTGTATCTATGTACGGTTAAGATATGTGGATTCTAGCATAGACAATTCTCCATTTCTATCGCATAGTGTAGGTCACTCACCAGATATTGGTACTATAGGTCCACTAAAGTAAGCAAGTATTTGGCATTTTGCAGCGAACAATAGGGACTGGCCAGAGAGAGATAACTTGAACATGTAATGCAATATATGTGCACCCAAAAAACTGTTCTCATAGTAGTGTACAGCAGTGTGCAGAGTTATTTTAGAATGTTCAACATTATGTTATTACACAAAACATCTAATGCAGCGCAGCTTTTCTAAGAGTCATTCTTGTTGTCAGGAAAGGGGGCAATGTCAAATGGGCAATTCTGATGCTGGCGACACATCACCAGTGGCAGAATTAGGACTTGTTTACACATGCCACAGCCCTTGCCACCATCACAAGAATGGCCAGATGTGTTACCACATAAGCTGGCCATACAACAGTAAAATGTTGTTAGAACATTTTCATTTTGGAGCGTGTTAGATTTTCTAATGGCAATAGAAAATTCGAAAGAGCAGGATGGAAATTTTTTCATGAATGAACAAATGACTGCTTTTAAATGTAGCTTTCCTTCAGGAAAAACTGAGCACATTGTAATGAAACATGTTTAATACATCTGGGATTCCATTTGTAGCTCTCAACTTGGAAGGGCCACTGAGAATGACCCAGGTCTCCCATACCTGTTCAGAAACTGCCAAGCTGCCAGGCCATTTCCAAGCATACTGACAAAAATGCAGGCTCAGTCTAGGCAGGGGATGTCTTTTTTGGAGATTTCTGGAGATTTATTGCAGTGCTTAAACAGGAGGGAGGGATAAGGGTGCTGGAAACTCCAAACCACAAAACAGGTAGCAGAGGACAGATTCCCAAGTCCTTTAGCAGCAGACTTTGCTGGAGGTAGAGGGGATAGCCAGCTAATCTGTGACTCTTTATGAGCAGTCCAAGTCCTTACAACAACCTCTGGCATCGACCCCCAAAGAACATACACATTTGGAGTCTACATACATTCCTAACACTGAAGCCATCACCACCCACACTCATATGAATATCAATACACCTGCTTCTCTAAGTGAAGTCCCTTTAGAGAATAACACCTTGTCCCTGGAGATACAGGAAAAAGGTGTTAGTTCAATACAGGAACATTTATCAGAACCCGATTTACATCTGAAGACCAACATGTCAGATTCAGGTATTCTGGTATCCAATTAGCTGGCAAAACTTTATTCTACAAATTACACATCAAAATGTCCACTTCCACCTTTAAATACTACTATTCATAAAGTTAATAATACAGACTCCTTAGATTCATCTACATCTACGGGTTCTTTTTTAGAGCTCCCCCGCATCCTCACAACCATAAACCTACACCCACAACTGAAAATCCCAAGGACATGGTACAAGAAACGTGAAACATTTCATTGGGTTACATTAGATGTTACAGCTCTGTGCTCTAATATTCCCACGAAATAGGCCTACGTGCAGTTCAATATTATTTGAATCAAGATATATACATGCCAGTGAAACATGTTCAATTCCTATTTGCTGCCATCAAATTTATACTAACCAAAAACTCCTTAACATTTGATGGCAGATTTTATTTGCAAAGCAAAGGTACAGTGATGGGGAAGAGGGTCACCCAGACATGCCAATTTGGTTATGGAAATGGTTTGAAGAAACATTTGTCTATTCAAACAACCTCTTTAGTGCAAACCATGCCCGCCATAAGAGATTTATATATTATATTACAGTATATGTATCTGGAAAGAAGATCCACTACAGTACTTCTAATGGAATATGTTGCATATCTGAATTCTAATGATATAGGTCTTCACTTTATAGTACATACAAATCCCAATGTGATAGAATTCTTGGATCGAATGCTGGCAATTTCATCACCACTAAAACTTATTTTAAAACAGTAGATACAAAGAGCTATCTCCGTTTGATAAAAACATTCCATATAGCCAATTTAAAAGGATTACACGTAATTGTACATCTGATGCTATCTTTGCAAAACAAGCAAATATACTATATCAAGGGTTTAAGGATAAAACATATCCTAAAAAAATAATATCAGGAGCATTACACTGTGCCAAATATCTAAACCCAATTTACTATTTAAACACAACTAGTCAACCAGAAAAGAAAAAAATCTATGGAGTTATTAACATTTACTACCAATTAGTGAACAGCATAAGGAAATTAGATCCATACTAGATTTTTTTTGTATTTGATTATTTAAAAACAGGACCCACTGCTAAAGAAAGAACTCCCCCAAAAAAACTAAAATTTATTTTAGAAGAGCAGAAACAATAGACAATATAGTGGCCCCCAGTACATTTTTGTATTACCCCTATTAAATCTTTACTGAAGTCTATAGAATATAATAGATTTACAGAATTATGCAGAAACCATATGATTTATAAATTAGGTACACTCTATCCAGGTGGCCTTAATGAAAGCATTGGCCTTCTACAATAGATGGCCAACAGTAATTGAATTATAATATCTGTCCTGACAGTTATGACTCAGGGTTGGCATATCCTACTGGCAATTCTATAATATCATAAATGGATAACCACAGAGCCATATCTGATCCCCTTCCAAGTCTTTGAAATAAGATTTATAATTTTTTTGGAGTCCACATGATAGTTTATTGTTGTAGAAAATCAATGTTAAGATAAATTACAGTAACAAATTAATATACATGTTAGTGGCAAATACTTGCTATTTTTATAGTGATATACAACTTTTTTTAGAATATGTATAAATGAGATAAAAATACATTTCTACTATGACATCTTTAAGATTGTATATGAGTTTAAGGATTAGACTGATTAAATATAAAAAGGTTTTAGACATTATTTTTGAATACGTATTATCCAGATCTATTTAATTTATATATACAAAGTAAAATATACTTGTTATTTAATAAATATTAATAAAGATATAAATCAATTCATTGCTAGATATAGACACAATGCTTAGCAAACATTTTGGGATCATAACCCTTTTTAAAAATGAACATACATTTTTAAAAATAATTAAAAACATGGATCTTTTTACTCAAAGACAATTGATTATTTGTGAACTGGCATGGGTATCTTTAACCTATTCAATATAGCTTAGCAATGATACTGCTGAGCATAGTAAGGGTTAACACTTTAATTCCTGTAGTGTCATATGTGCATTTATTCTCTATGGCTGCATTCTCTTGCTTGATGCCATTGCTCACTTGTAACACTTTTCCTGATGAGTGAGCGGAGTAACTGCTCAGAAATGCATAGAATAAAGTTTTAGTTTAGCTTGATAACACCTGACTGAAGTCCAGTTTTGTATCTGAACTCAGTGTCTTTTTTCGCTCCTTATCTGACCTGCATTCACAATCCCATATACATGTAAGAAGAGCTTCTCATTGCAGTCCAGGAGCCAGCAATTACACAAGTCTGGTAGTCTAATCCTGAGCTGGAAACACAGATCAAAGCAGAGCATACACTGCCTGTGACAGACAACCTGGAAACAGAGGAGGAAGACTATATGCAAAGGAAGACTGGGTGTAAAGTAACATTTCCTAATAAAGGGGCACTATATTTGTACATCAGGTGAGGAGAATAAATGCACTCTTTGTATCTGATGATATGACTTCTCTAAGAAGCACTCCACTTTTCTTTTTCTTTAGGCACCCCTGAAGTCTCTTTAGTGAGAGAGAAGGTCCTTCTGTAGCCCAGTTTCCACAGGTGATGCCCTTCAGCAAATATATTTCCAAGTTCCTTCAGGCCCCCAGCCAAGCACATGGTAAGGCCATTGGATCCAAAAACTTAATAGCCTAACTAGGGCATGACACTACACATTCAAATAGTAGGTCTGGGAAATTTTAAGAATTTGTGAATGAAATTAGTTGGCTCATTAATGGAAAGCAACAATGTTCTGACCAATGATTTTTCTATGAACATCCAAACAAAAATCTAACCATATATGGCCAGCTAGATCTACCTGTCTTTGGTTAGCACACAACAACAGAGCCTCTAATGCCACCCACAGGCTCCGCTATCTGATGTTTTGAACTGAAATGATTGGATTCTTGATTGTCTACTATTTAGTGCATAGTAGGCTGCACTATAGTGCAGAACAGAACAGATATACTATAGTATACTATTATACTATAGATGAAAATGGGGAACCTGCCAGCTCACATTTTTATTTAACTGTTGTGCTTATTATGGTCACCATTTTCATTGCACTATTAAGAACCACTGTTATAGTCTGTCTAGTCATCTTATAGATTTCTCAGCTTGCTTAACTTACCTTTCCATACTTCCAAAAGAGTTATAAAACATACATAGATGATCTAGCACACTGGTCATACAAACAATAAAATATGACAGTTCTTTAAGGCCTGGTTCACACCTATGCATTTTTTAGTGCTTTTCGCATTTTGCAGAAGTTCACTACGGTCCATTTAACATGGTTTGCTATGGGACATGCTCACATCTATGTGTTTTCAGCCGTTACATTTTTGGAAAGGGTCAGGGACGTGTGAACCAGGCCTTAGTCCCAATGGAGAAGTCATAACTCCAAAGGGTACAGCTTTTTGGTTTGAGAAAGATTTGTATTTGCAACTCTAAGTATGCAATCCATGTTATAAACTGCCTATAACATTCAAAAGTCCTGGTACTGGAAATGATACCTAGAGAATGAGGGGAGACAGGACAGGGCAATCTCCTGTTTATGCAGCTGAGGTGCATACCAGATAATGTTTCCTGAAAGCTTAAAACTCAGGAACCTAATAAATTGAATACATCTATCTGGCCAAATCCTCCTTACCAGACGGTTTCTCAGACAGGACATTTCAGTACTGACATATGAAGCCCATCCAGGGGGCCACTGGTGAAAATTGTGATAACTGTGAAAATGTAGATGCTTTTCAACTAATGATTTTGGTAGATAATTTTGGCCAAAAAGTTAGCAGAGATTATTGGAAACAAGTAGCATTAATGAGACATGACTATATTGGACATGAGAAGGCTCTCTGGCAAGTGGATTCCAAACTAACTGTATGAGGATCAGAAGAGCAATCATGTTATGGCTTTGAAGGAAATTTTGAGCAGTTTAGATGGGACATAATTGTTTTTTTTCTTTTGTGATAAAGATTTTAACTAAATGAATATAAGGTGACTTTGCTAAAGAATCAACTGAAAAATTCCACAAAATGTGGTCTCCTTGGCTCATTTTCCGATATTCTAAACTCTATGGTGTAACGCATGGTGCAGTTCTCTGGAGATATATGACCTCTGTTTGGAATCATTGTAGCATATGGAAACATGCCAAATATATAAAAGGTTCTATTTTCATCTCTTCTTTCATTTCTTCCTTCCACTCCTCCCTTCCTCTCCCTTTCCCTTTTTTTTTTTACTCCCTTGTTCCCCGTATTCTAGATTAAAAAAGTTGCATTTTATCGACACTATCTTTGGAGGGTATAGTTGAATGTGATTTTTTGTACATTATAAATCTATTGCTGAGATCTACTTACAAGTGAAATTTATGTCCTATGTTATGTTCAAAACTGTTTATTATTCAGTGTTTGCTGTAACTACCAAGAGCTTAATAAAAACTTAAAATTGTAAAAAAAAAGAATATAAAGTGACTACTGAAAGAGCTCCTGTCGGTGTCTCAACCCTGTCAACTATGTTACAGGAGGAGACTCAGAGAAACAATCTCAGGAAAACTTTGTTAAAGTGGACTAACAAAAAACTGTGAGCAGATAGCTCTTTTTTTCCGCAGAAGAGGCATGATATATCTCTTTTTCAATAATGCACACTTACCTGTCTGCTCACAGTCTTTGAATTAATGCACACTGAGATGCATATGCACAGCTAAGCAGGTATTCCTGGCACATTTTAGCTGTGCTGGAATGACCGACTCCCATTCACATGTGCGGGATGACATTATTCTATGGCTGGCCAATCAGGAGGATGAAAACATGGCAACCAAAAGTAGTCAGGGAGGGATTCATTGTGCATCACAGCATCATATATGTTTGCTTTTAGTACCACTTTAAATACTTACGTAGACAGAATGGATACCCATGGTACCCTTCGGAGCACCTCTCACAGTTATATCCAGTAAAGTTGGGCTTACAATAACATCTTCCCGATCCTTCTTCACATCCATCTGACTGGTCAGGGTTGCAGCTGCAAGCTAACAATAGCAACATTACAAGAATTTGGGTCTACAATGCACAGATGATATCAAAATAGTGAACTGCAACTGTATAATTGAATCATGTGAATTTTTCCACTGGATTGTATAGAAATCTTAGCATGCATGAGATAACATGAGATCCAACTCAAACAGAATAACTGGAAAGCTTAGTATAAAAAGAGTTTAACATGTTTGAAGCAGACTGTAATATATTTATTGTGTACGATTCTAAATGTACTCTGTGGCATTTAGTGATACTGTGTTGGAATACAGTGTTCATGTATTTTGTGCAACAACTAAATCAGTATTCAGTAGAGATATATACTTCAGCCAGTAGATGGTAGTGTTTATAGATTTGCAGCTACATCTATGGAAAATTCTATGGGGTTTATTTACTAAAGGTGGAGAGTGCAAAATCAGGCTCACGTCTGCATAGAAACCAATCAGCTTCTAACCTCAGCTTGTTCAATTAAGCTTCAGCAATAAAACCTGGGCACTGATTGGTTTCTTTGCAGAAGTGAGCCTGATTTTGCACTCTCCAGGTTTAGTAAATAAATGTCTTTTCTCTGAATAAAGCTTCCCATTTCATTCTTGTAGTGAAGCAATAAAGCACATGGGGACTGTGCACTGTCACTTCTGTAGGGTTATATACTGATGAAGCCACGTGACCGGAGGCGTAACGTGTAGGGGAGGGGCTTTGATGTCACAACGCTCGAGGGAATCATAATGACACCAGCTGGACACTCTAGAATATTCACCATTGAAAAATATCCAGAAAACATTGTTTGTGCACAAAGCAGTTTTTATGAAGAGTATATGTGCATGCATTACTTATATTAATAAAATGGTTTTATAAGCATAACACACTATGATTTGATTATTCTTCTATATCAACCTCCGTGGAAGGGGAACCTATCGTTTAATTGGAGAGGGACCCCAAACAGCAGGATACCATACCATCCCAGGATACCATCCCATCCATTTTGGCCCATTTAAAGGGATACAAGCATTATATGAGCTCACTTAACGGTTTGGTCATATACTTGAGGTGAGAGCACATCTGCTGGGGGAGCACAATATAAGAAATACATTTTTACATAAGATATCAATTAAGCAGCACGGGATATTTTATTCAAAAGAGAAACTAGGCACGTTTGAAGAAGCATATATATGGACTTTTTTTTCTGACACGTGTATGGACATTACTTTTGGTATATGGGTTTTTATGTACATGCGTATTGCTTTTGAATTGATACTGGTTGAAATATTTATTTTGTAACTCGCTATTCATAGCAGAACTTGGTTGCACTTATTATTTATTTTGAGCAATTTTAGTGAAGCGCGGCACATTTTAGTTAAATAGCATGTGTAGTTTTCTTACAATCTTTTCCGTACGACTACTATGAGATTGTAGAATTTTTGTGTGTTACTATCTTTTAGCATACCCTTCATGTATGATCAAAAAGAGAATGTTATTGTAATGTATGGTGCGTGTAATGGTAACATACTGTATGATGATACATATGGCAAGTACAGTTTTCATGCATAGAAGTGGCTGATATATTTTAGTGTTGTTTTCCATCATATTAATCAAGTTGTAGATCTCAAAAAGTATAGAGCTTTAAATGTTATAGACTTACGAATACAGCCATTAGGTGCTTCTTTAGGAACGCCATATGGTCGATAGTATCCCACAGCACACTTCTCACAATTCACACCTGCTGTGTTATGCTACAAAGTACCAGTAAACAAGAAACACTATATTCAGTATAGGAAATACAGATACTCTTATAGACAGTACCTTATAGTTTATACTGTATATACAGTTGTGCTCAAAAGTTTGCATACCCTGACAGAAATTGTGAAATTTTGGCATTGATATTGAAAATATGACTGATCATGCCAAAAAATGCTCTTTTATTGAAATATGATGATCATATGAAGCCATTTATTATCAAATAGTTGTTTGGCTCCTTTTTAAACCATAATGATAACAGAAACCACCCAAATGGCCATGATCAAAAGTTTACATACCCTGGAATGTTTGGCCTTGGTACAGACACACAAGGTGACACACACGGGTTAAAATGCCAATTAGAGGTTAATGTCCTATATCTGTGGCTTTTTAAATTGCAATTAGTGTCAGTGTATAAATAGTCAATGAGTTTGTTAGCTCTTATGTGAAAGCACTGACTAGGCTAGATACTGAGCCATGTGGATCAGAAAAGAACTGTCAAAAGTCCTGCGTAACAAGGTAATGGAACTTTATAAAGATGGAAAAGGACTTATAAAGATGTCCAATGCCTTGAATATGCCAATCAGTACTGTTAAATCACCGATTAAGAAGTGGAAAGTTTGGGGATCTCTTGATACCAAGCCAAGGTCAGGTAGACCAAGAAAGATTGCAGCCATAACTGACAGAAGAATTGTCTAGGATTCAAAGAAAAACCCACAGGTAACCTCAAAAGAAAAACAGGCTGCTCTGGAAAAAGATGGTGGGGTTGTTTTTAAGGAGTACAATACGGTGATACTTGAACAAAAATTAGCTGTTTGGTCAAAGTGCCAGAAATAAGCTTTTACTGCACAAATGCCACAAAAAAGCCTGGTTACAATATGCCTGAAAACACCTTGACATGCCTAGCCAGGCCTTTTTGTGTCATTGATGCAGTAAAAGCTTCTTTCTGGCACCTCGACCATGCAGCTCATTTTTGTTCAAGTGTCATCTTATTGTGCTCCTTCAAAACAACCACATTGTCTTTTTCCAGAGCAGCCTCTATTTTTCTTGTGGTTACCTATGGGTTTCCCTTTGCATCCCGAACAATTCTTCTGGTAGTTGTGGCTGCAATCTTTCTTGGTCTACCTGACCTTGGCTTGGTATCAAGAGATCCCCGAACTTTCTACTTCTTACTAGGTGATTTAACAGTACTGATTGGCATATTCAAGGGTTTGGACATCTTTATATGGACATCTTTGTCATCTGTACATTATTTTTCTATTCTGTTTTTTAATTTAAAATGGCGAACCTGTCATACTTACCTGCTGTATGCAATGTTTTTGTGCAATGTTTTTGCACAGAGCAGCCCCAATCCTCCTCTTTTGGGGTCCCCCACTGGAGCCCCTGGCTCCTCCCCCCCCGCCGAGTGCCTCCATAGCAAGCCACTTGACACAGAGTGCAGCTTGGCCCAGCCCCCCGCTGTCACTGACTGTGACTGACAGCAGCAGGAGCCAGTGACTCCCACTATTGTCTCTGGGCCAATGAGGAAGGAGACAGCAGAGAGAGCCTCTACTCTTGGGCACAGTGCTGGATCAAGATTGGGCTCAGGTAAGTATAGGGGGGATGATGGGAAACTGCACACAGGTTTTTACCTTGATGCAGAGATTGCATTAAGGTAAAAAGAGCCTTCTACCTTTAAAACCACTTTAAGCAAATCATAACCTATTTGTTAATAACTGTAAACGTAAGAGTACAGCTGGAGTAAGATATTTCAAGTGACTAAAAAGCTTTACCAAACCACTCCTTTGTAAATGATCCTATCTATCATCACTAGTGATACAGTAAATATAGTCCTGGTATAGCTCTGCTGCCAGTAGAACATCATATGTACAGATGGAACGTGGTGTGACTCATTCCCTGGGCAAGAAAGGACATGAAGCACTCTGTTTCATTATTTGATGATCATATGATACCATAAACTTTTACCTCTAAATACTCGACATAACATTGAACATGTTCAACTAAGTTGGCTATATTGTACAAGAGATTTTGAAATCTTAGAATACATTTAGGGCTGGTGTTGATTTGCAGCATTTGATGTGGGTTTGGACCAAGCGTCAATTGCAAGTCAAAAACATTTTTGCAGATCAGAACAATCTGATTAACGTTCAACAAGCAGTACTCAACAGTTTGGAATCTGTGTTTGACCTGCTTTGCGTTGCACTGCATTTATTTGAACATAGCATGTACTATTACTTTGCATTTAGATTTGAAGCAAAGCAATTCAAACACAGGCTTTTCTTGTCAAATATTGTGTTTTCCATTTTAACGTAGTTGCATGCGTTCCAAAGGAAAATGCAGCAAATGATACGAACTCCCATCGACATGAGTCCATATGGGCAGATAATATAGTAAAAAATGCATTTTGTGATTATTATTTACAATAATTTGCCAATATAAACATTTATGTCTAGTCATAAATGTTTAATACATTTTAGATAGAGCGGGGAAGGGTTAGAATCTTTGTCAAGTTATGACATACCAGAGCAGGAAGTGAGGGGAAATCTTTTTTTTAGTAGATAAGTGGAAGGCTAGAACCCATCAGTTTTTTTATTGCTTTCTGTGCTCCTGTTGTAGATTTTTGATCACTTGCTGTGTGACGATAATGTTATCACAAGATATCTCCCCAAAAAAGTTATAATCCTTCCCTTCTAACCACTCTGCTCAAGAAAAGAGGTTCCTAGAAGAACCAAACATGAAATCAAGAAGAACAGATGGAAGATCATTGTTGCAATTGTGTATTTAATGCACATGAGCACTAAACCAAATGGAAAGGGTAATGTATATTCTGAAAAAAAAAATACAGAGGAACAATAACAATTCAGAAAAAGTACCTGGCAGTTAATGCAAACTCCTCCGCCATTGTACTGTCCATGTGTATCTAGACTCGCACGCTGATAATCTACTTCAGCATCATAATAACAGTCAGAGGCATGTCCATGACAATTACAGGCTATGGAGAGAATACGGTATACAGTTTTACCACAGGAACTTGTTATATTATCACCGGACTTATTTCTTGTAGTCAGTTATTCAACAAAACAGTGATAAATTATTAGATGTCTACATACAGCCACATCATGTGCATGCCATGATAAATATTATTCTATGAAATTCATAATCAGACAGAATATTACTTTACTTGTATTCATGGAAATATCTGCAAAGCGATGATTATACTGGGACTTAGGAGTTTCCTACATGGAATGGAATGCAGATGTAACATTTGATAACTGTGCTCAAGCGTGCCCATAGCTAGAGAAAACCAGAAATTCCCAACAAATCTTAAACTTGTACATCAAATGACAGCAAACACTTTGCCTGTCTAAATATATATACAGCAGTCATCCTATTTTTATTCTAGTGTGAATTACCATTCCAGAAATGGAGAAATATTTAAAGCAGAACGCTACTGAAAAGGGGAAGCTCTGCTTTCAGTCCTCCTCAACCCCCCCCTCCACCCCCACATTTGGCATGTCATTTTTTGGAGGGGGAGCAGGTACCTAGTTTTGACAGTTCTCTCTCCTTCTCACAGTCTTCTGGGAGATGTTGTAGGTTCCAGGAGACTGCAGGACCATTTACAACTGGCAACATTTCTTGCACATGTGCAGTGGGCAACCAGCTGTGAAGCCAAAAGCAGCATAGCCGACTGCCCACTGTTAGGATGCTGACACTGGGAACCTGAAGGCTGAAGAAGTAGCCCAGGTGAGGAAGGTGCTGGATCCCTGGACAGGTAACCTGGACAAGAGTAGACCTCCTCTAACTTTAATCAAGTAAAGATAATTAGAAGGGTTGGAGAAAGTTCAATATAATTTGCCACAATAAGGTCCTATAATGAGTACTTCTCTTTACAGCAAGGAATTTAATGTAATTAATTTTAGTTGCCAAATAACTTTTTAGTATCCAATTAACTATTTTTCTAATGTGCCTTAATGCAAAAGCTTTTTTAGTAAAACATATTGTCTGTGCTCTTTTAACACAAAAACTCAATCACAATGCTGAATTTAAAGAGTACATAGTATCCCATAGTGCTCCTCTCACATAATACAGGAGATGTCAACTAAGTTTTTTGAACATCTTTTCAGTAGGTAAGCTGATTTATGAAAACTGAAACAAAAGAAAACAAATCTGAAGCTTTTGCACCCAAAAATTAATCAGACCCAACAGACACAGTTTAGCTTTCCCAGAAATAAATATAGAAATAGAACTGGTAGTTTGTTGTAGTCACCTGCCAGTTTTCATAAATTATTCCCTAATGTTTAAAATTCACCTACTTTACTGTAGAAAACTAGTTTTTAACTTTGAAATAAAATATAGCTGAGTAGCAACTTTGTATTTCTACTGATCTGCACATCAGCCTGTTACAGAAGTTAGCTTTCTGCCTTGATCACTGGCTTGTGCCTCCTTTTAATTCAGTATGATCTAGTCTGAACACTAGAAGGCCTTGTCTACTCCTTTGGCAGTTCTAACAAATGGCAGGAATTTGGCAGAGATGCCAAGATTTCAAAATAATCTCTCTGGACAGTTTTCTGTCCAGGAAGATTAACCAATTATAAAGGATTATCTGCCTCTACAAACCCACTATAATTCTAATTACCTCTGAAGAGGTGTAGAATGTCTTTTTGTTAACATATACAACCCTGTTGTTTAGAAAATGTTTCCTTAGAAAAGATACAAATGTGGTACTGAGCACGGATACTCCTATTTCTGGTTATAGATCTTGCCAAATCTAATACATCAAAGTTCAGGTATTGGGGTCCTTAAAGTACAAATAAAGGCAATACCTTTTTTTAGTTTTGGATAGTGAGGAGAGGACACCTGTCAGTTTTTATTGCTGTCTGTGACCTCATTAAGGAGATTCACCCTCTCTATTTGTCCTAGTTTCCATGAAAGTGAAAGTAAAAGAAAATCCCACATTTTTTATTGTCCCCAGAAAAGTAATAAAGGGGAAATTTTCCAATCGGGACACTAGTTCTGGTGACCTGGGGTCTCCAAGGGATTCACTTAATTTTCAGGGATATCCTCTCACTTCCAGTTTGGCTATGGGACAGGTGAAGGTATATCACCCTAATGGGACAAAGGTGCCAAAATTAAAGTGACAGTGGTTTAGAACACTACCCTACTCTATCCAAAATGAAAAAAAAAAGTTTTGGTGTGGTGTGCCCTATAGTTCTACTTAAGTGTTGTCATGAAGAGAATATAATGCTCAGGTTTATTTTTGTGGATCGCCTTTAAAATGGGCTTTCTGGGACCCATCATCTTCACCAGCTATCCATTCCAGTTTCAGAGTCCATGTAAATAACTTTTAAATACAGGTTTCTTAGCCTTCTTCAAAATATATTTTTATTTAACTCTCTGGTAAATGTATTCTACAAATATAGGCCATTTGTTTACACTTACGTTCACATTGATTGGCTGTGTCAACACCAGCAGGCCGCCATGGCTTCTGACTATAACCAGGACAGCAGTGGTCACAGATCTCCCCACATGTGTTATGCTGACACTGACACTGATACCTTCATGAAAGCACATAATGGACAAAATTAGTTATTTCATACAGCACAATTTATCTCTTGAAGTGTTTATTCTTGTGTGTGAAAGTAAGCTCATCATTAAAGAAATCAAGGGATTCCATTGCTAATCACCCTCACAGACATGACTGAAGCCAGAGAAAGCTGGTCAACTTTAAGAATGAGGTCAACAACTGCTGTTCACACATTCCTTTTTTGATAGGCTTTCTTTCTGTATACTGTACATATCAACTAACTGCACTAGGGCTCCAATGTGTAAAACGATAGGCAGCAGCTGACACAATACCCTAATACATGGTACCCTCAAAATTAATAAACAACAGTGCAGCACTATAAAGTTGCAATAGACTGAAACATCAAATCATAAAAATACAGTCAGGTCCATAAATATTGGGACAGCGACACAATTCTAACATTTTTGGCTCTATACACCACCACAATGGATTTGAAATGAAACAAACAAGATGTGCTTTAACTGAAAACTGTCAGCTTTAATTTGAGGGTATTTACATCAAAATCAGGTGAACGGTGTAGGAATTAGAACAGTTTGCATATGTACCTCCCACTTGTTAAGGGACCAAAAGTAATGTGACAGAATAATAATCATAAATCAAGCTTTCACTTTTTAATACTTGGTTGCAAATCCTTTGCAGTCAATTACAGCCTGAAGTCTGGAACGCATAGACAGATGCTGGGTTTCATCCCTGGTGATGCTCTGCCAGGCCTCTACTGCAACTGTCTTCAGTTCCTGCTTGTTCTTGGGGCATTTTCCCTTCAGGTTTGTCTTCAGCAAGTGAAATGCATGCTCAATCGGATTCAGGTCAGGTGATTGACTTGGCCATTGCATAACATTCCACTTCTTTCCCTTAAAAAACTCTTTGGTTGCTTTTGCAGTATGCTTTGGGTCATTGTCCATCTGCACTGTGAAGCGCCGTCCAATGAGTTCTGAAGCATTTGGCTGAATATGAGTAGATAATATTGCCCGAAACACTTCAGAATTCATCCTGCTGCTTTTGTCAGCAGTCACATCAGCAGTCACACCATCAAAAACAAGAGAACCAGTTCCATTGGCAGCCATACATGCCCACGCCATTGCACTACCACCACCATGCTTCACTGATGAGGTGGTATGCTTAGGATCATGAGCAGTTCCTTTCCTTCTCCATACTCTTCTCTTCCCATCACTCTGGTACAAGTTGATCTTGTCTCATCTGTCCATAGGATGTTGTTGCAGAAGTGTGAAGGCTTTTTTAGATGTCGTTTGGCAAACTCTAATCTGGTCTTCCTGTTTTTGAGGATCCCCAATGGTTTACATCTTGTGGTGAACCCTCTGTATTCACTCTGGTGAAGTCTTCTCTTGATTGTTGACTTTGACACACATACACCTACCTCCTGGAGAGTGTTCTTGATCTGGCCAACTGTTGTGAAGGGTGTTTTCTTCACCAGGGAAAGAATTCTTCGGTCATCCACCACAGTTGTTTTCCGTGGTCTTCCGGGTCTTTTGGTGTTGCTGAGCTCACCGGTGCGTTCCTTCTTTTTAAGAATGTTCCAAACAGTTGTTTTGGCCACACCTAATGTTTTTGCTATCTCTCTGATGAGTTTGTTTTGTTTTTTTCAGCCTAATGATGGCTTGTTTCACTGATAGTGACAGCTCTTTGGATCTCATCTTGAGAGTTGACAGCAACAAATTCCAAATGCAAATAGCACACTTGAAATGAACTCTGGACCTTTTATCTGCTCATTGTAATTGGGATAATGAGGGAATAACACACACCTGGCCATGGAACAGCTGAGAAGCCAATTGTCCCATTACTTTCGGTCCCTTAACAAGTGGGAGGCACATATGCAAACTGTTGTAATTCCTACACTGTTCCCCTGATTTGGATGTAAATACCCTCAAATTAAAGCTGACAGTCTGCAGTTAAAGCACATATTGTTCGTTTCATTTCAAATCCATTGTGGTGATGTATAGAGCCAAAAATGTTAGAATTGTGTCGATGTCCCAATATTTATGGACCTGACTGTATATGTAACACAATCATTATAAAATAAAAATGTGTGTACAGAAAAAAGCACCGTGCCCCTGATGGCACCACCTGTAATAAAACGAGTTGGGTGGAGCCAGAATACACAGCAGTGCACATGAACAAACTAGCCACGGCCATTTTGGTTACAAGTGATGTGCAGTGTCTGTATACTATTCTCTATTGTCAGTGCATTCACCCTATTAAATCTACATTTTATACTAGTTTACACCATGGGAGTGTCTTCTTTCTTTCTTTATGATGCCTTTGTACATGAGTCCAATTGTACATTGACCTTTGGGAACACAGCAGTGCGGCTGTTTGATAAACAATCAGGGAGAA